TTGTTGCTTCTGTTTTTGGAGAATCCAGACATACCTTTTTTGAATCTAAACATGCATGTCTTTTTTATCTTGGAAAGGAGAACTGGTTTGGGGAGCTCAGTGTGGTCTGGAATACTCTACCTGGCCCATCAGCTGCAAAGAGGAGGCTGCCGAGGATGGGGCAGATGGCGAGGGGTCTGCCTGCAGGGTCAGCATCACCAACGATAGCTCACACTTAGGCAGCGTTCACCCTGGGCCTGGCAGTAGGTTAAGCCTGGGGCATTTTCAGGAGAAGTAATTTGCTCAGGAACCCAGAGACCTTCTGGGAAGAAAGGAGCCAAGATTCAAACTCTTATAATTTGTGGTGCGGGACAGGAGGCCGAGCTGCACGGCCTGAGAACAGAGTGGGAAGATGAAGAAGTCCAGTCTCCAACCTTCACAGAGCCTTTCAGCTTCTGCCTTGGTCATCGTTCCTTCAGGTGCTGTTAGCTGCGGTCAATGAGAAACAGGAGGCCTGCGTTTTATGCTTGCAAAATCCCATGCTAAGCTTTTTGTGTGCATTTTTCATGTAATCCTCCAAAGCAACCTCAGGAGAGAGGTGTTAGCATCATTTTATAACAGAAAACAGAAGCTTGGAGGAGTTAATTTTCCTGTGCAGGGTCACTCTGCAGTGATGTGGCACCAAGAGGCAGGAGGACCCCTAAAGCCTGGCTGACAGTAATCCTAGCCCCGTGGGGCCGGGTCCCTCACTCAAGTTTATTACACTGCATTCCTATTGCTCATCCTCTCATCTGTGTAACTTTTGGAACTGATTGTGTGAAACCGTAACTCATTTAAAAGTAGCTTGTAATATTGTGAAAATGACCACGGCGATCTATATGCTAAGGAGGTTAAGTGTGCAGACCAGGGGTCAGCCACTGCTATGGCTCTGCTGTGTATTGTCTGTGTGACCCCTCAGCCTGTCTCTCTGTCTCTTTTTGCTGGAGATCAAAATGCCAGGCAAATGCTCTACCACTGAGTGACCTACCCACACCCGCTTATCGTCCTAATCTTCACAACCATGCTACTAGGTAGGATCTTCTCTTATCTTTGTTTTGCAAAGTGGGAATTTCATGTTCACGGGTTAAGGAAAATGCTGAGTCACAAAGCTAGAAAAAAAAGCCCAGCTGAGATATGTATCATGGAAGCCTGCCCCATGCCCACACTTTACAGCTGTGCTTGGATAAGGTTAAGGTCGTGACTGAGATCCTATTTCAGAGCCAGTTGGTTACCACTCTGGGTTATGGAGTGGGGATGGAGAATGTCAGTGTCCCCTCCCGGTGAGGGTTTGGGGCTGGGGGCTGTCTTGTACAGAAAGAAAAAAAAAAAATGTGACCCGTAAAGGAGTGGTTTAACTGTCACAGAGGCGAAACTATCCTAACCAAAAGTCAAGTCAGCCCAGGGAATTTTATCTTATCAGGTAATGGAATTGATTTTTTAGTGACAAGAATGAGCTCATTACGGATGTAGCTTGTGCTAACAATGATAATTTCCTGGGCAGTAAAATCACCTCTCTACACCTCTTCCGGCCCACAGACAACACTCTGGAAATTATAGGCTAGGGAGAAATAAAAAGGATAAAGATTAAGAAGAGAACTGCAACATGGAACTGCCCAAACAAAAGGAGTTACAGCTTTGCGCATTAAACTTGGTGATCATAATCATGAATTTGTAAAAGAATTAGATCATGTTAAAGAATTTTCTAAATTGCCTTTGTTATCTGTTATTGCGTTGTAGTTGGTTTGGTTTGGTTTGGTTTGTTTGGTTTGCTTTGCTTTGCTTTGCTTTGCTTTGACTGATTTGGTTTGGTTTGGTTTGGTTTGGTTTGCTTTGCTTTGCTTTGCTTTGCTTTGCTTTGCTTTGCTTTGCTTTGACTGGTTTGGTTTGGTTTGGTTTGGTTTGGTTTGGTTTGCTTTGCTTTGCTTTGCTTTGACTGGTTTGGTTTGGTTTGGGTTGGTTTCAATCTTACAGCTGAAGGCTTTTTTAAAAAAAGAGCAAAACAAATTAGTCATCTTCTTAAATATTGATGCAGGATATAATCCCATGGAGAAAGCAAGATGAAGGCAGGCCCAGCACCTCAGAGACTTGGCTCCATGTGGCCATCGCAAACTGGGCTTTGGGAAATGCAGCCAAGCGACATGCCTTCCCTGTCACTCACTTTTGAGGAGACTTCAGCGATGCAGCTTGTTGGGTCATGTGACCCTTGGCAGTTTAAGATCCAACTCCTGGTTTCCTTTCTGGGAGTCTGAGGTCACTCTTCCAAAGTTTCAAGAAAACTAGAAAAAAATCACCAAACTTTGCCCAAGTCCTTTGCAAAGAATGCCAACCACCTCCTTTTGAGGTATGGCTTTTTTTCACTTTAAAAACATAATCCCCAAAGATTAACATATCTTTTAATAAAGACATGGTAATGTTTTCAATTCAAATAAAGATTCTTAAGATAATTTTTTTCCTGATTATGAAGGCAATATCAGCTGGCTGTAGAAAAATCAGAAAAAGCACAAAGAAAAGAAAACCAGTAGCCCCATCAATGAAATAACCATTGTTAGCATCAGCGGTTATCTATCCCTTTCAATTAAACAAAAGACGCAATTACAGTGTGTGTGTGTCTGTGTATAGACATAGTTTTACTGCTATTGTATATCAAATGACCTTTTGTTTTCTTGTACTCTGTCCTAAATATTTTTCCATAGCACTGTTCATCCATCACATCACCTTTTAAATGATCGTCTATACTATAACTCTGCATCCCACAGAGATAAAGTTGTTGCTTTGTTTTGTTTTGTGAGACAGTCACCCTTTATATACATCCCTGGTTGGTCGTTTCTCTGTTCAAGGGTCCTTCACTGTTTCTGGGAGTTCAGACTGTCTGGTGAAGTCTGCAAGACTTTTCTTGAATAAGATGCACAGTAAAATATGTAAGATTACAAAGGAAATGTTATCAAAACACTAAAAAGAACAGATTGGTGCGCAATATCTATATACATGTTTCTTTCTTCCTGTACTGAATAACCGTAAATTAGAGAATAGCAGTTCTACTAACCACTATAATTGTAAAACAGAGATGAGGTTAACATGATTTCTAGCTGTTTACAGCAAGTGGCATATGATATAAAAAGATCGCTGATTCCTCTGGAGTTGAAGTGACAGGTCCTGCTGTGTCTGTTGCTGATGTTTAATAATGAAGGAAATACCAAACTGCACTTGGAGAACTGTGAAAACAAAGATGGAGCCTTTTTCTCACCAAAATTCTCCATCCCCCTAATTCTGACTCATAGCACCAGACCAAAGCTCTTGCCTTCGGAAGAACTCCCATCAGTTTTGCTCTGTGCATTTCTGAACTATTTGATGCCAATGCCCCCTTTGGCCTCTGTTTTAGCTTTTCATTGCTGTGACAAAATATTGAAGGAAAACAACGTACAGAAGAAAAGGTTGATTTTGGCTCACAGTCTCAGAGGTTTCAGTCCATGGCTGGGCATCTCTGTTGCTCTTGGCCCCATGGCATGGCAGAAACGTCATGGCCAAAGGGCAAGGAAAAGAAATCTGCTCGCCTCATGGCAGCCAGGAAGCAGAGAGAAGGAAAGAGTGAGATGGAAGTGACCAGGGACCAGATAGTCACCCAGGTCACACCCATGATCTGTTCCCTTAAACTAAGCCCCACCTCCAATATCCATTACCTCCCAACAATGTCATCAAAATTATGATCTCATCAAGGTGATTAATTCATTGATGAAGTTAAAGCCCTTGTGATCCAATCACTCCATTCTATAGGCCCCACCTCTGAACACTGCTGTATGAGAACTGTATTTGTCACTTTTCTGTGACAGGGCCAAAATACCTGACACCCACAAAGAAGGGAAGGTTTATTCTACCTCCTGCTTTTTGAAGGGGTCAACGTATACGTGGTCAGCTGGCTTTAATGCAGAAATGGCATGGAGGAAGAGTGAGGCAGAGGAAAGCTGCTCAGCCGATGGCCATTAGGAGGCAGAGAGACAGAGGAGGAGCCAAGGACAAAAATACACTCTTCTGGGTCACATCCCAGGAATACACCTCTTACAGCTAGGCCCCACTTTCTATAACACATGAATCTATGGGCCAAAAACCAATGGGGGGGGTGGGTGTTTAGATCAAAACCATAACAGGGACTAAGCTCTCAATGCCTGAGGCTCTGGAGGACACTTCCTATTCAAACCACACACACCCCACACCAAGCTTCAGAGCTGCTTCTGGTATCTTCCAAATCCTGAAGGTTGCCCAGTGAGGTCAGAAGAGTGCCTGTCAGGGGCAAGGGGCAAATGGCCAGTGTTAGGGGTTGAAAGGTATCCCTCAAACCAAGCCCTTCAGAATGCAACTGATTTGGAAATAGGGTCATTGTAGGTATAGTTACTTGACATGAGGTCAGACTGGAGTAGAGCAGGTTCCTAATCCAATGTGACTTCTGTCCTCATAGAAGAAGGCTATAAAAAGACAGAGAGACCCAAGGAGAACAGCATGTAACTTGTTGGGGAAGAGATTACAGTGATGAAGCAAAGATTGCAATGGTTGCTGAGGGGTTGGGAGAGGTGAGGGCGTCCCTCCACATATAGAGGGATGAGGCCCTGCTAACAACCTTGATTTTGGACTTCTACCTCCTAGAACTGTGAGACAATAAACTTCTACTGGCTGAAGCCACTCATTATGTAGTACTTTGTTAGGGCAGCCCTGGAAAACTAATATAGCTGGTATCTGACAACTAGGGCTACCTGGGGAATGGGATTCTTAAACACCAGAGGCACAGTGGGCATGGTGTCTACGCCGTTTTGCGGAGACGTCACTCCAGGGCAGGATAGCTGATAAGGACTGACAGCTTGGGGGATTGTGCTGGGGCTTCAGAGAAGAGCTTGGCTGAGCGCAGAAGTTTACTTCAGGGATAGAAAGTGATGAACCCACCCTGGCCCTTCTCAAGGTCAGCAGCACCTGAGAAAAACAACCATAAAACCCTCTGGCACTCTGAAAAGTATTCTCTTTATCCCCACAGGACCACAGAAGGCCTTTATCATTAACGTCATGACATTGCCAAGGCAGACAGCAGTAAAGAGTTCTTGTTGCTCAATTTCCTTGTTGCCCACTGGGGTGTGGGCAAGAGGCTTGTTGTGAGGCCAGGACAGCAGGCTTGGACAGCGTGCCCCTTCCCCTCTCCTTGGGAGACCGCAGGCTTCTAGCCCTCAGCGTACTTCACTGAGGACAGTGGCTCCAGATGAATCTTCCTGTTGCTCCATGTATTTGGTTTATAAGCACAGCCACAAGTCACTGGAGGTTTGGAGTCCTTGCTCTGGGGTCTTCCAAGAGCAGGGCAGCTTCCACCTGGAAGAGAAGCTCCTCTTCATGAGTAGCAAGCAGGTAGCCTAGCTAAGGATAGAGCCTCCGCAAACATTTCACTGCCCTTTGAAATGCAGTAGGTCAGGCCTGGTGGCCCACACCTGTAATCTCAGCACTGAGGAGGCTCGGGCAGGAAGCAAGTTCAAGGCCAAGCGGGATTATGTAGCAAGACTCTGTCTAAAACAACAAACAAAAGGGAAGGAGGAATGGAAGGAAGGAAGGAAGGAGGGAAGGAGGGAGGAAGGGAAGGAGGGAGAAAGGGAAGGAGGGAGGAAGGAAGGAAGAAGGAAGGAAGGGAGAGAGGAAAGGAAGGAAAGAAGGAAGGGAGGGAGGGAGGGAGGGAAGGAGGAAGGACGGAAGAAAAGAAGAAAGGGAAGGAGGTAGGGAGCGAGGGAGGGAGGGAGCAAGGGAAGGAAGGGAAGGAGGGAGGGAGGGAGGGAGGGAGCAAGGGAAGGAGGAAGGGAGGGGGAGAGAAGGAGGAAGGGAGAGAAGGAGGGAAGGAGGAAGGAAGGGAGGGAGGAAGGGAGGGGGAGAGAAGGAGGAAGGGAGAGAAGGAGGGAAGGAGGAAGGAAGGGAGGGAGGAAGGGAGGGGGAGAGAAGGAGGAAGGGAGAGAAGGAGAGAAGGAGGGAAGGAGGAAGGAAGGGAGGGAGGAAGGGAAGGAGGGAAAGAGAGAGGAAGGAAGGAAGGAGGAAGGAAGGAAGGGAGGGAGTGAAGGAGGGAAAGAGGAAGGAAGAAAAGAACAAGGAAGGAAGAGAAGGAGGGAGAGAGAGAGGGAGGGAGGGAGGGAAGAAGAAAAGGAGGGAGGAAGGAAGGAAGGAAAGAAGGAAGGAAGGGAAGGAGGGAGAAAGGGAGGGAGGGGAAGAGGGAGGGAGGGAAGGACGGAGGGAGTGAGGGGAGGAGGAAGGTAGGAAGGAGGCAGGGAGGAGGGAGGGAGGAAGGAGGAAGGAAGGGAGGAAGGAAAGAAGGAAGGAGGGAAGGAAGGGAGGGAAGGAGGGAGGGAGAGAAGGAAGGAGGGAGAGAGGGAGGGAGGGAGGGAGGAACAGCAGTAGGAGGGAAGAGTCTTCCCTACCTGAACTGGAGAAGTCTGGGTACTTGGCCAGCGGCCCCTCACGCTGCAGAACTTCGGGAGAAGGAGCAGGAGGCTGTGCAGAGCCACCTCCGTATAGTCTAAAGTAAGAGCAAAAGCCAGAAGGTTATTTCTTTTAATAGTAAAATAAGAATCAATATAATACACGCAGCTGCTGGGAGAGCGTGCTATACTTATTTCTAATTCTTACAATCTGCCCTAAAGAATTATTGTCTCCATTTCACGGAGAAGAAACTGAGACCGTAGGAACCACCCTACACAGTGTCCTGGCGTCACCTTCCCCCTCCCTCCCTCGGCATCCCTGACAGGGAGACCCTACTGGGTTTTGCGCCCACCCCATCGTACAAACCAGCAGAGAGCCCCCCGCAGGGCCTGGGGGGAGCTGAGCTCTTGGGGAGCAGAGCACAGCAGTGGCACCGGAGGCCCTTCCATGTAACTAATGCCGCCCAAGACAGTCGCAGTGCAGATGTGGCGCCCCGTGACCCAGCCAGCAAAGCTCTTCTTCCTCCGCCTGCTGCCTGTGCTACCACCCACACTCACTCCTTGTAGGATTTCTCACGTGCCCTCTTGGCCCGCTCCTTGATGTCCAGGAAGTCTTTGTAGCAGTTTTTGGCCATGACAGTGTACCTCGTGGCACAGCCCAGCTCAGTGACCCTGGCTCTGGGCAGGAAGCCCGCCCAGCCAGGGATCGGGGGCTCGTGGGGAGGTTTCTTCACATTCTTACATTCTGTAAAGAGACACCACACTTCCTGAGGGCACTTCACAGTAAGCGGTGGCTCCCACAAGCTAGCTAGCACCGGACAGATAATCTGGGCCTAGGTATGTGATGGGGCAGCAGCCGCCGTGGATGGTGGTGTGTACCAGGCACCTGGGAAAGGGCTTAACAAGTCCTATCTCATCTAATTTTCTTACCTCCAACATATGGAGGAAGAAATTGACTTGCAAGAGGTTCAGAAAGGCTTGGCCAGGGTCACAGGACCAGGAATTGGTAGGGCCAGACTCAAGCCCGGTCTGGCTGGGCTCTATGTCCTTGCTCTTAAGCAGACCATGCTTCTCTCTCGGGGTGGTAAGGAAGCTGCCAGCATCCTCTGTGCTGCTTTATGTAATGGAGGGAAAAAATAAGCATGCAGAGAGGCAGGAGAAAACACATCAGACTCAGTCGTACCAGGCACCTGCCATTACGTAGCCGCTGTGACTCTGGCTAGGAGGGTGCCCTCGAGCGAGTCTCACAGCCCCCATGTGTCCTCCAGTTGCTGGTAGAATCAAATGAGGCCACTGATCCCAGAATCTCAGAGCCGGAAGGCACCCTAAGGAGCCCTCGATGAAGAAACTGGAGCCCAGAGAGGAGAAGCAAGTTGCTTTAGATCACACAGCAAGTAGTTACAGAGCTGGGCTGAATTCCAAACCTGGCCAGGTATTTTTTTGCAATGCTTGAAAAAATATAAAGCATAGTAAACATGTAAACTGATCATCTGTCCTTGAAAAGTTCCCCAAACAATTATAACAGGTAAATGTAATTTCTTTTTGGCACTGGGAATCGAACACAGGTTTGTGCACTTGCCAGGCAGGTGCTTGTGCCACTGAGCTATATCCCCAGGACAAACAACTATAACAATAAAGTCGATTCTTTTTATAGGCCTTTTAGACTTTACAATAACCTAGGTCAAATCATTGTTGTGATTATGACATAACGAAGTCATCCTTCTTGTCACTGTTTTTCGTTCTGGGCAAAACTCCTACAGAACTAGAACCTAGGGCAGCTGCATTCAAACCAGTACTGTCTTGGCCCTCTCGCTATAAGCTCAGCCAAGTTGCCACCACTGGCAACCTCTCCTCTCCTACCCCGAGAGGGAACGCTGGTCGGGACGTTATCGTCTTCCTGTGTGTGGTTGGCAATACCAATGCTCAGCACAGAGAACGCGGCTGAGTAATGGCACCTGTGCACCCACACGCTGAGGTTCAGAAGCTCCTCCTGAGGCCTGGCCCTGAGTTCTCAGACCACCCTCTCCTGCCGGACCAGGCCTGTGTTCCTCCCCTTATAGACGCATCTTTCTCGTATGCAGAAACCGAGCCTTTCATTTTGCACGGAGTGCTGGGGACGCGAAGCCCTGCTGGATGCTATGCTGTCTGTGGCTTGTCTGCTGGGGTGCATGCTTGGAGCCAGGGCTGAGGGGAAGCTGGTTTGGGGCCCTCGTACCCAGAGTCAAGGGGTGGTATCGCCGGGCGTATTCATGCAGTGCCCGCAGGACGGTCTCCTCGGAGCTGATGGGTTTCAGCTTCGGCGCGGTGGCCACTGCACAGCGAAATTCCTCCAGCTGGTCCTTATACCGCTGCGTGTTCTCCCGGAAGGTTTGCAGACAGAGCTCCACGTTATCCTCACTGGAGGTTTCCTGGCAACTCAGGAACGGCACGAAGCCTGCAGAATCCAGAGGAACCGCGCGGCCTTGAGCAAGGCAGGCTGGCAAGGAATCTGCACCCCGCCTCAAAGCCCCACCATCGCCGCCTGCCGTTTGGCGTCCTCCCCGGCCAACTCCTCTGCATTTTTCCGAAGGCCATTAATACAGGCGGCACTGCTGTTTCCACTGTCTGGGCCCTCCCAAGGTCACAAAAAATGACCTTGGAGCGGTGGGGGAGGGAAGGCCCGTTTCAACAAAGGCGATGACAGTCATATTCTTTGATAGCAAAGCCCCTGATGTCAGCATGAACAGCAAACGGAGAAAGCATTAATGGGCCAAAATGATAGTCTGAGGAGTAATTGAAATTATTCCTCTTTTTAGAGAAAAAGCATATTTTCCTTGACACTTCCCAAATGCAATTTGGGATCTTTCTTGCCGGTCAGACCATGGGGAAATTGCAGGCTTATTAAAAGCAGAGACATACTACACAAAAAGGTAAATTCATTATCTGCAAGACCCACCCCTAGGAAAATTTATCACCATTTCCCACAAAATAACATATAATCATTACAATTAGCATGGGTAAAACACAACTATTTATTTAAACTAGATGCTGAACGCTAAGTACTATAATATTGTCACAATAAGACCGTTTTACAAAAGAACAATTGAGAAACACTGGTTGAGAACTTGGTTTTAAACTGCAAAGTAAACAAACAAATATCTTTCAGTATCACAACCTAACACTTTTGCTTTTGTCCCTACGGAAAAAAAAACCTAGCCAAAGAACTGAAGGTAGCAAGTCCTGAGCCTTGTAACAAGCCATCTCTGGAAGCACTGAATTAATAGCCTGACGCTGGCAGTGCTCAAAACCTCCACACACCATCCAGCTTCTCCAGCCCATGGGGGATCAGCAGATACCCTAATGTTACAGGGTAAACCAGGAGAAAGCTAGGGGCCTTCTCAGCCATCAGGGCCTAAGCTGATCTATAGATTTTATGTGCTTATATGTACATGCATGAGTGCGTGTGTGTGTGCATGTGTGTGCATGCCTTTGACTCTAAGGACTAAGATATTATGTTTTGTTTTGTGTTTTTTTTTTTTTTGTTTTTCTTCCGGTACCAGGAATCAAACTCACAACCTTGTGCTTGCCAGGCAGGTGCTGTGCCGCTGAGCTAAATCCCCAGCCCAACAACTTAGATATTTAAAAGAGCAATGTGCTCTGGCTCCTTTAAGCATCACAACTTTATATAATATTCCACACAGTGGGTTGCACCGTATCCCACACATAGATCCTGATACCTGTGAACATGATCTTCCCTGGAAAAAGAGCTTAGTCAATGTAATTAAGGATCTAGAAATGCGATCACCCTAGATTTAGGATGGGCCCTACATCCAATGATTGGTGTCCTTATAAATGAAAAGGTGAGATTTGAGGCTCACAAACTTAGAGACCCAGGAGAAGCCCATGTGAGGAGTCACGTGAAGATGGAGGCAGAGACCGCAGTGATGCTGACACAAGCCAGGGGTCTCCAGAAGCTGGAAAGGGCCAAGGAAAGATCCTCCCGCAGAGGCTTCAGAGAGATCATGGTCCTGCTGACACTTTGATTTCAGATTTGTGGCCAGCAGAAGAGGGAAAGAATACATTTTGCTGTTTTTAATCACCTAGTCTACGGTGACTGGTTACAGCATGCTATGAAGCAGATGCATCAATTTTATAGGATTTCTTCCCCTTCTCAGGAAGAGGTAAGTGGCCTACAGTCACTTAGTGGCCATGCAGAGACGATCCGAACCTGAGTGTGTCAGAACCAAAGCCTGCCCTCTTACTCAGCCAGTAGGACCAGGGTAAGGCTAGGATCTTGGAACAGTCCCGAGCACCTCTGCTCCCAAGAGCAGCTGTGGACAAGAGCGAAGGGTGCCTGGGGCCTCTGGCTTTGTCACCCACAAGCATGTAATGCAGTAAGTTCTCAGTGGCCCAGAAGCTGGCGGAGGAAGAGTCTTTAGAAAGGGCAACCAATGGTCCTATTCTGCCTATTTCCTACGGGGGTCCTGGACATAGACTGAGCACTATTACCAGGACAGCCCTCCAAAAAAAGGGCGGTTGGCCACCTACCTCCCTTTAGGAGATACAGGAAAGAACAAGAGCATAAGTGATGGGGGAGCACCTTGAAAAAGCCAACTCAGGGAAGGACAGGGGTGTAACTTTTCACTCTGTCAATCCTCATAGCTCTGTTATCCTTGTTGAAATTCATTCAGCAGGTTTGAAGCACTTCCAGCATGCGTGTGGGAGAAATCTGGTCTAAGTTCTTTCTCTGCATGTATCAGAGCCCAGCTATCGGCACTGGTGTTTTCAGGGTATTCTTAGAAGCCGGAGCAGCTGCACTCACACAGGGCTAGACAGATATGGACAGCGGGCCAAGGCCAGGACAGAGACCACAGCCATGTTCTCCAGGCTGCCACTTACCACTGTAGCCTGGTGTGATTGGCATCTGTCTCATGAAGACCTTGGAAGACTCCATGATTTTGTTCTCTGTTAATGAAGGAGGGGGAAAGAAATTACCTTATCAAAAATTCCTGCCTCAAAAACTTACTGCTTGCATGCCACTTCTGGGAGAAGAGTGACCTTGCCAGGGGCTGGGACTGAGAGGCAGCTCCACTATCTCACTCAAAGCCAGCAAAGAGAGATGGTTTCGGTTACAAGGAACACGGGGCCCATTACCTTTTGTGTTCGCTTAGATAATGGATGTACAGATTACTGCCCATGAATGTCTCTCTTCTGTGGCAGGCTCCTCCCACCCACCCATCCATACATCCATACATCCATACATCCATACATCTTCCCACCCATCCACTCACCCATCCATCCATCAATCCACCCACCCATCCACCCACCCATCCACCCACCCACCCATCCATCCATCTGTCCGTCCATCCATCCATCCACCCATCCATCCACCCATCCACCCATCCATCCACCCACCCACCCATCCATCCATCCACCCATCCATCCACCCATCCACCCATCCATCCATCCAACATTCGTGAACTATATGCATACTACAGCAATTAATGGGACAGAAATTGGAAATATAAACATAAGCAAGACCCAGAAGCCCCCATGTAGGGCTCATACATTTTGAGGGAGGAGAGAGACGATGTTTCCACATCTGCCCCGCCCTTTCTTTATCCAGTGATAATTTCTGCCACCACCACCTTTGCCCTCAGAACATTTGGTAATGTACAGAAACATTTTTGATTGTCATAAATCGGGGCATGAGCTGCCAATGGTATCTAATGAGTAGGATGCTGCTAAGCATGCTGCGACACACAAGTGAGCCTCACAACAAAGAATCAGAAAAAGTTGTGACTTGAGGGATCAGAAAGTCCCAAAAAAGTTGGCATGGCATCGAAGGGAAATAGCAGGGGGTGGCAGGAGTGCAGTACCAGTTTATGTGGATGCTCTCTTTGGGGCAAGAATCCTTCCTACTTGAGGGATTAGCAGTGGACTCCCCACCCCAAATCTTCCAGGGTCTGCCTCTGAATCCTGCGATGCTGCCATCTCCTGACCTGTTAAGCCAGTTGGTCTCCTTGAAGCAATGCTCTAAAGACTGGGAGATGGGGCCTCTGGGTAGAAGGGAGGGTCACAACCTGGGGCTGTAGGCAGTGACGGGAATTGCTAAAGGAGTTCTGCCCCCACCAAGACAGGAACAGTAAGGCTGGGACCACATCTAGGCTGATAAAACCCCTGGCATCAGGGGGCTGGATAATGAGAGGTGCTGGTGCAAGACTCAGTCAGGCCATGCAATGAGTGTGTGCCCAGCACACCACCGGCTGACCAAGACCTGGTCTCAAAGCCTTCCATGCACTAATTTAGCAAACCTTCTCAATAGCCTTATGACACACTCATTTCTAGAGGAGGGTCAGACATGTAGCGAAGAATGGCTATGCATGGCTCAGGGAACTTCTCTCCTCTCTCATCCCCACAGCTTCCCTAGGGTGAGTACCCAAGTTACAGGTAAGAAAAGTAAAGCACACTGAGATTAAGTGATCTGCTTGAGGGTTCTGGTGCAAAAGTGGACATGAATGGGTGACTCTCAGGGACAGGATGTGTTGCCCAGAAGTGTGACCCTAGGGTGGGACCCAGAGCCAGGCCTGCCTGGAGGAGGTGGGCAGGGAAGAGCACGCAGCCATTGTGCCCTGGGGGGAGGGAAGCAGGACAGGAATCCTCCCAACCGCCCCGTGCCCACTTCACCTGCTCTCACCTGGGTGCCTGGATCACTGCCCCCCACCCCGTCTCCAGGCCTCCCACAGCCTTTGTGAGCTCATCCAGGGTGGGGCATGCTGATGAGGCCCCTCCCCTTCTCTTTCAGGGTGCCCTCAGAACTGGGGCTCCAGGGGGAAGGTCTCCAGAGGAACTTGGGCCAAGAAATTTGGGGGTGCTCCCCATGAGCCCCTTTCAGCCCAGCCCCAGGTGCAAATCCAGACATTTGCCCGGTGCACATCTGGCCTCAGAGCCTTAGAACTGCCCACCTACCTGTCTCCCTGGGGCGCATGTGTGGCGGGGTGTGGGGCTTCTGCTGGGGGTATGGACACTGAAGAAGGGTGGGAACAGGCTCTGTCCCCAGTGCCCCACAGAGGGTGGAATGGTGGCCACTGCGTCAGCCCAAAGGCAGGGGTGCTTGAGGGCCAGCAGGAGCCAGAGAGCCAGCAGAGAAGTTGAGGCCCTATGTCCTTGGCGACTTCCAAACAGAGGCGCTTCCATGAGCCTAGCAATCCACCCCTTGAAGATTGATCCCAAGTTTTTCACACTGTGCTATACCCCCACTTATTTAAAAAGAAATTTTTTTTTTTAAGTTTTGACACAGGATCTCTCTGAATTGCTAATTTTCTCAGGTTGGGCTCAAAGTTGCAATCCTCCTGCCTCAGCCTCCCAGATTTCTGGGATTACAGGCATGTGCTACAGCATCAGGCAGCCCCCACCATCCCACTTTTCATCTCCTATTTGAGAGGCCAGACTTTTCAGGAGCTCAGGACCTGTGAAGAAGGAGCAATGTACTGAAACGAAGGCATGCTGGGGAGGCTGAGTCATACTTCTTTCTAACTGTCTCCATTCTATAGGAACAAAGGAGGCCCAAGTCTCTTTCTTCTAGATTGAAACCCACCACAAATGCCACTGTGTGAACAAGAAACACAGGGAATGAACAGCCTTACAGACAGCTGGCTGCGGCTCCTGCCTTTATGGAGAAGGGAACTGAGACCGGAGGCACTTGGGTACTTTCCAGCGCATGTAGCTCAAGTCTGCCTAAAGGACTACCCACACTTCTCCACCTCTGCTCCCTCAGATGAGTGCAGGTGGAGGCAACCACCTCTTATATCCCTCTTAGGGTCCCGGACCTCACTGCAGGCCTTTGGAAGATTCTAGACCCAGCCTGGAGGGTACCCCAGGGACAGTGTCTGGAAGAAATCAAAAGCTCTGGACATCCAGTTCCGTGTGCCTACCAGGGTGCTGGAGGGCAAGGAACCACTGCAGGCCTTCAGTAGGTGACTTTCAGTGGGTGTGTAGCAGAGTAGTCACCCTATGTATCTGCCTTCCATCTGTACGTCTGACCACTTCGCTCCCGCTTGAAGGGAGAGGACTCTGTGAACATTGATGGAGCCTTGCCTCCCAGCAGTGAAGGGGTAGACTTGTTGAAATGACTGTTGATAACTTATATACCACCTGTGAAGGGACCTGGAAGCCAGTCTCCACGTGAGACAGTGCGCAGGGGGTGGTCGGTAATGATCCAGCTATAATTCTGCTTACAAATCCAGCATGGGTAGGGAGGTGGGGGGAGGTAAAAACTATCTGAGCCACATGAGATCCAGAGTTTTACTTTATTAGACATCTGTGAAGACAAGAGAGTTTTCAGGTACAATCCTGCCCAGTTGTGAACTGCTGCAAAGTTCTGTGAAGTTTGGATTTATCATGTAGTGAACAAGACCCCCAGTAGCAGAGATTTTAGAATATAGTTCCATATTTCAAGCAAATGAGAGGTCTTAGTGACATTATGGCCAACAACTTGTATACTAGTCATCCACATAAGCCATTCCCCAGCATACATCTGCAGCTTAATCACAGCGGTTACATCTCTACGTGTGAAATTCGATCTTCAACTAATAATGCATTTTGACTCCTGTTTATATTGGTGCATGCGATTCATTGCTATCCTGGCAATCAACCAGACCTGGACTCTAAAAGCTAAACTTGGTCTAAATAACATTCTAAGGGTGGGGCACGCTCTGTATTCTAGATTCATCTTAGCTATCACTCTGCAAAATCACTCCTATGGCTCCTCCTCTTTCCTATCATGGCTGTCCGTAACCTATCTGTCACTCGGTATGTAGTAATACTTGCTGTACACATAAAAGGCGGTTACAAAGGAAACCAACAACCCTGCTTCCAAGAAAGGCAACTATCAGATAATATGAGTAATATTATCTTGACCAACTGCGTAACTGGTCAAGACCACAGACCTTCTAGAAACTGTCTAAGATTAGGCATATGTCCAAGTGTACTTATCCAGTGCTCTTACTCTAGAGTATTTCAGTGAAGCAAAGGGGTGGATTTGGGGATTTTGTGTAAGGAGTTTGACTCCAGGGGCTGCACCTTAGAGGCCAGAAGAAAATCCAGATAATTATCACCCCTTGTCCATCATCAATTTGCCAACAGTGCAGATTTCTATAAGGTCTTTTAAGAGAAAGAGTAGACAAAGAGATAGCCTTAATGCAATGCAGGAAGCGGTTTATACTAGCAGGGAAAGAGGGTTCACTCTATTACTCACACTTACACTTAACCCAATAGAAAAGCTTGGTTTATGTACCACTTGGCTCCTCTCTTTGACTGTGGCATACACACAGCAGGCCAAGCTTTGTGTTCAGAGTGACTGCTTTGCCCCACAAGGAGAGGTCAACAACCCCAGCAGATGCACAGAGTTTTCATAGGTTTTTCTGCATAGTCCCATGGCTTACAGAACTGGGATGTTCAGCTCTCAAAGTCTGGACAGGAGAATTGGTACATTATGTTCCTTTACCTATAATCTGTGAGTCTTTGGGAAGGACGCACACGTGGAGAGGTCCTGTGAAGCTGTTGATCCGGGTGTTCAGAGTATTCTGCTCCTAGGCTCCTCTGACTACCGCTCAGTCTTGTGTGCACAGTTCATCGCTTGGTATTGGCACACATCAATGACTAGTGAGAGCAATTTAGAAATGAAACTGGCAGATGAAGGGCAGCAATCTCAGCAACAAAAATTAAAAAGCATTTTCCTTGTTTTTGTAAACAAAAGCACATTGTAGAAATAAAGATTCTGTACAAGATTCTAATATTGTATGTACATAAAATTATATTACTCATAACTAAATTGAAGAGTCTTCTTTGTAGACTACAGCTAGTAACACCAAACAGGGACCCATGACATTGAGCTTTTGAAGCAGAGTGGGCAGCAGGAGACCCCTGGCAAACACACCTTGGTGCCTGGATGCAAAAGCCCACAGCTCAGCTGTGGGACTCACGTTCCCTAGTTCTGTGTTTTGTTCCTGTTTCACATTCTAGCAGAGAATTCTGCAGCAGGCAACGTGAAAAAGAAGACACCCTGAAATGAGATTTGAGATGCTATTTAAAATCTGCATATTGGCTATGATAATGGGCTTGTGAATCCAACTTGCATTCGAAGTTACTTCTCTCACTCTCCGCTCATTCATTATGCATGCCTCCAGTGATTGGGAATCGGAATGAATTCCAGCAGGTGGAAAAGACAGCTTTGAACACGTAAGATGGACTGAGTCAGATTCTTGATTCTTTATCCTCAGTTGGCTCCTGAATGTTGGAGGAAACTGGTTTTGTGCAGTGGGAAAGGAGAGGCGGTGGTTACACTTCAGTGAGCCCTCTTCCTGGGGCTGATTCTTTACCATCTTTTTGCTCCTCAGAACGTTCCTGTGAGGGCTGAAAGGGCCCTGCCCAGGCTGGTGTGGGCCCCGCTCCACGCACTACGAGGACAAGGTGTGGGGGGAACCTCTTCCCTAAGGGATCTCTTATGGAAAGACTGCAGAGCACAGCCCGTGGTCTGTGCTTCAGCTTGGACAAAACCTAAACTTGGTAATTCTCAAATTCCAATGGACACAGTCACCTGCGGCTATTCCAATAGACAAAAAAAAAAAAAAGAAAAAAAAAAGCAGGTTCTGGTCTTCCTCTTCCAAGTTAGCTTCAGTTAAAAAGAGATCAGATCCAGGAACCTGCTCTTAACAAGCACCCAGGCAATTCTGATGCAAGCAAGCCACAGATCTGCTTTGGGAAAAAAAACTAAACTGCCCAGCTTAATCCATCGGGTACAGAGCTACACATTATTTTGGAGCAGATCTGAAAACCAAAGTTTAATGATGCATTTCATGGAACAGATCCTTCTTTCCTATTTCACCAGTGCATTCCTTTCGCAATGTGGAAATGAGTGGCCAAAACTCTTAGGGGAAGAGAAAGCGCAGGGGAAAGAGGGTTCATCTAAAATTCGTATGTTTTCAAGGCAAAGAGCTACTCTAGACTTTTCGGCTAGGTGATGTGAACAAGACAAACGACAAGCTCATTTTCACACGCGAAGTTCCTGCCAGGTTAACTAGAATTACATATGAAAACCAGGACGTGGCATTATATATCCTAACATATGCAGTAGTTTCCTATTTTCCACGGTTTCACTTGCTGTGGTTTGAGTTACCCACTGTCAACCATGGTTCAAAAATATAAGACAGGACAATAGGATATTCTGAGACAGAGAGAGAGACTACATTCATATAAATTTTATTACAGTATACTTTTATAATTGTCCTATTTTTATTAGTAGTCGCTGTCATTCATCTCTTGCTGGGCCTAATTTATAAATCGTACTTTCTCATAAGCATAGGTCAAAATATAGAAGACATAGGGTTCCACACTCTTTGTGGTTTCAGTCTAGAGATCTTGGCATGTGTCCCCACAGATAAGAGGGGTTTACTGTAATTTGGGATAAGTCAGCTCTTTAAAATCTATTTCCATTGCAGCAAAATTTTACCTGCTAAAAAGGTAAGGTATTACCACCGCTAGTCCCCAAAATCCTAGTGGGTCAGCCACAGCTTCTTCACCAAACCTCCTTGGAATTTAAATTATATGAGAACCGAAAATAGTGCCCATGGTTGGCAGTCTTCTCCCACCAGCTAAAAACACTCCACACTCCCCCTGAACCACCTCTTTAATCCTGTGATGATGGGGAGAAATTAACTGCAGATGGCTGGCATTTTATACCCACTACTATCCAAAAAAAAATTAAAAGGATCTCAGATGCAGAGTTCCTTCTGGTTCAAAACTCTCATTTCAAATCTACAAAGACAGCAACGGGGCACCCCAAATTCTACTTAACTGAGATGGCTCAAAGCAAAACTTGACCACTGCTTCAGGAAAGTACTGAATGCCTTGTCAGGTAGCTGGTTCACCACCCTGCTACTTATGAAAACTAGCTGATCTTCTAGGATCCTTGAATTTCCTATACCCACACCTAAATCTTAATTTTGACTGTTTTTCTGACTCCCGTGTGCCTTCAACAAATCTGTAGTTGTTTCTTGCCCTGGTTCTTTCTGTCTTTCCTGCTGAAATTCAGGTGGGCAATGGGAAGGGTCAGGTCCAGGGAGAACAGTCAGGGATGAGGTCAGCAGATGCAGATGAGGTGAGTCCAAGGTGGCAGGGGGCACGGGAAAATGGCTAGTAATTTAAGAAGTCGATCCCCACTTTGACACTCTTTGAGGTGGCTATATCAACAGCTGTGGCCTTGATCTCGGTGTCCCCAAACTGCATGAGGGTCTGGATTTCCCTCCGGGCGGGCACCGCTGTGCCACTGGTACCCGTGAGATCCAGGCGAAGTGTGCCGCACTTCTTCACCCCCGGGTCAGTGATGAAACTGACATTGTCATGCTCAGAGCTGTAGATGTTGATGACAATGACCAGCTGGGACGGCTTAGCTGGGGTGTAGCTGCGCTTGACTAGCTCACCCAGGGCCACAGATTGGTCGGCAGAGATGAACTTGTCGAAGACATCAGTGCACCAACGAGTGCCATCCTTGACCAGCAGCTTCTCGGGTGGGTGCTTGCCCTCCACGTACCGGTTCAGCACACCCACCCCGTAGGTGAGCGGGGACCGACGCACCTTGATCACGGCGGGGTCCAGGCCGAAGAGGACAGCTCCCTTAAGGATGGTGAGGCCCACGTCTTGGGGAATGATGATCCGGCACTTGTCACCAAAGGCAGTATGCACAGCCTGCTGCAGGAGGGGTGCCTCGGCAAAGCCGCCCACCAGGAAGAGGAACTTGACTGTGGATACCTCAGGCTTCTGGAACAGGTCCCCTGAAAGGGAGGGGAAGGGAGAAGGTCACGTCACCAAAACCCGGCAGGCAAGGGAAACTGAGCTGCCTGGGTCTGTGGGGGTGGATGAAACCACTTGAGCCAACTGAGCTCACTGAACTAAGTTTTTGTGCTGATCTTTTAAAGAAGAGGAGTTTTCAGGCCCTTCTGCTCGGGAATTGAGGCAAGAACTGCTACTAAGTAGAATCTCACTTTAACAGAGAGGTGGTGAGCATGTTAAGGGTTTGTTATGCATAAAGGAATACCCTCCAAACTTGTGGTTCCATTAAGTAAGTCAGGCAAGTTGTTATAAGCAGGATACTCTGATTTTCATAAAAGTCCCACCCTACCCCTAGGCACTGTCCTTTGGCAGGTGAGGGGTGAGAAGAGGATGAGAGGTTTGGATACTGAAAAGTTCTAGTCAGTCACTGTGTGTCCCTTGGTAAGGGCCACCGACTCAGTAGAATGACCAGATCCTGTTTGTCCTCCTGCGGGAGACCTTCCTTTGGTTCACGGGACAGTTCCCTCTCTCCTGGCAGGGAAGGACTCCCGATTTTACAGATGAGATGCATGCCCTGGGGCCTGTCCTCTGAGATGATATAGCTCCCAACCTTTGAGGCCAAAGTGAAGCCCAGGTGAGGACAGGCTCCCCAGGAGAGGGGCCCAGGGCCTGTGCCCAGCAACCTCCCTCACACATGCCCAACACCCACCCGCTCCTGCAGGGCCCAGGCCTGTGGCTGCCCTGTAGCCTCTGCCAATCCAACTGCAAATGTACTAGTTGGTGACACCGGGCAAGTCGGTCTCCTCTCTCAGCTCGGCTTCCAATAGGCACATCCTGGATGATACTTACGAAGGTGCTCAATGATGCTGTCAATGGTTGGCTTAAAAAGAGCATTCATGGCGTCGGGACTCATCCTCAGCATCCCCTGGGAGGACCACTTCACAAAATCCACACTGTGGGAGGACGGCACAGAAAGGACCAAAACTGAGTGTCTACGCAACCCCGGGCTTTTCCACACAGCAGTGCACCACGGGCGGCAGGACACCTGTCACATCACTGGGGCAGAAAGGGGTTTCACGATCAAAAGCATTAAGAAATCCCCAAACTGCCAGGACCCGGACCTCTGAAGCCCAGGAATAAGACATAACCTTTTCTGTTTCTCTTCTTTGTAGCTGACCTTCCCCTGGGATAGTGGAAGCCAAAGTCTAGTGCAAGAGGCAAGGTGATAAACAGAAGGAGCTCTCTGTCTTCTGAAGGATTCACATTTTGAATCCAATGGAAATTAAAGGCTCATGCGATACATTTTCTTAAGACCACACAGGAGAGAAAGGTGCGTGAGCAGCTGCATCTCCTCAAACCTCCAGGGACCCACTGTCCAGAGGCAGCAGGGCAGAGCAGAGCAAGCACTGGATGGGGAGCTGCCATGGCCGGACTCTGTTGTCTCCGAGCCTGGTCTTCTCATATCCAAGTCAAGGAGAACAGCACTTGCCTCACCTCACAGGGAAAGTTCTGCAGATCGAGTTAAATGGCAGAGAAAACACTTGGCATTCATCACACAAACCTGCAGGAGGTACACAGACTGTTCTGAAGTTGAGGGATGAAGCAAGTGGTGCCTCGTCCATGCAGCAAAGCACACAACAGGTGCTTCCCAGTGACACAGCCTGACCTGCCGGCTCTCCCCAACCAGGACTTCTGTCCATGGCACAGGCCAAGAGACAATGTGGCATTCTATGAGTGACCCCACGACTGTGGCCAGTTTCTTTACTAGGAGAGGCAGCAGGTCCCTGGAACTGTGCAGGTGGGACTTGGGGTTCAATACGGAGGGGAGGTGCTCTGTGTGGGAGATCAATGGGGCAAACAAAACACCGGCCCAGTAAAAGAGCCTGGCTTGGCGAGATCTGGAATCAAATCTCCTTTGCTTTCTGAAAGGAACCAGGGATTCTAGAGAAATGGTTGGTTCCAGGTCTGGGGTGGGAAATGCACAAGATGAGCCAGGGGCATCTTCATATACCAGAAGGCAAAGACTTTGTCAGAGACTTGTACTATGTCAAAGGGACTCAGAGACAACTTGAAGAGGGTGCTACTGTCCAAATGGGACAATCTGAGCATCCGTAAGGATGTCACTGCCATGATTTAAAATGCTAAGTCCTTAGCATCAAACATGCTAAGTCCTTGAACTCTTACTGATACTGTCCTTGTCCTTTCACAAGATAAAACTCATGAACTACTTGGATAACACTAGGGAATAATGTTTTCACTTAAAAGTGGAGAGGAAGAACCAACCATTTCTCCTCTTTCCTGTATGAACTACACTCCAGAGAAACTAAATCTACAGGGCAAACTGTCTCTACAGGAGGATTCCAGCTACACTAAATGAAGAAGTGATAATTTAAGATGACAACCATGCAGTCACCCTGAAAGAATTCATGGTCATTACTTAACTAATGATCATCAGTGGATGCTAATGTTACAAAAGAAGAGACAAGCAGACATCATACGTCCCCCCACATTAGACAATAGGAAATACCACCACTCATTAGGTAGATTTGCCAAAAATTTAACCTTGACTCTAATTAAATCTCAAAACCAATCTATCAACTTGCAAAAACATATCAGGAGATAGAAGAACATGTTATGGGACACCACGGGGATTCAGTGAACAAGACCCAGGCTGTAGGAATCGCCTATAATCAATCAGTTTTGTCATTAATACATCGTGAAGGAAAAATAGGAGAGGAAGCTATGGATTAAGTGGGACTTGAGAGACCTATCAAATAACTGCACCATTCAGGTTTCCTTTGGATGATGATACAAACTGAAAAAAATTATATGGGGCAACTGGGAAATACTTTAATGGTATTAAACTGGACATTTGATGATATTTGGGTAATTATTAATTTTTAAGTGTGATATGATGTTGCTATTGAGGTTAAAATTTAAAATGTGTTTCCTTTAGAATAACAGGCTAGTGTCTATGAACTAGGTGATAGTCTAGCTGAGATCTGCTTTAAAGTAACTGCGGGGGTGAAATTCAGACAGGGTAGCAACTGACACTCACTGCAGCTGGATGACAGAGCTGCAGTCTCCACTACAGAAAAGTTACTAGAAAAAAGTAACTATGGACACGACAGGTTTGTACATTTGTTTGACTGTAGTAATATATTCCTATGCTTATCAGAAACAATTTTTAAAGCTCTTAAAAAAAACTATGATTTTTTCCCATTAATTTAAAAACTAGCAGCTTCTGCCTATATTCCAAGGTATTCATTTTGCAACAAACTGAGCTACAAATACTTGCTTGCAGCCACGGGACTCAGAAGACCGAAACCCAGTTTCCCATGGAATCCAAGCAACAAATACTTACTGAGAACCCGGGGCAATGCCCAAGCTTGACTTCCTTGCTTTCTTTATAAAGCTTCTATGTTTCAGTAACATAGAAATGACACTTTTCAAGTCTCAGACACTGTGTTAAGCACCTAATAAGAATGAATTCATTTCACCCTCACAAGAGCCCTTTGAGGTAAATGAAATTATCATCTCATTTTCCAGGTAATGGAAGTTATTATAGGAATGCAGAAATTGAGTCACTTGCCCGAGATCACATAGCGAACACATAAGCCTGGAACTCAGTCTATACCCGCTTCCTCCCTCCCACCAACACAGCGGACCCCGGGCCGTCCTGACTCCAAGGTGAGCCCGACTCACTTGCTCTTCCTCAAGGCATGCTCCACACTGTGCCCGCGGAACTTCTTGTAGTAATCGATAAAGGAGAACGGCAGGGTAATGTTCAGTGGGTTGGTTCTGTCTGGGGCAGCCGCTCTTTTGCGAGACTCAAATGCGATCATTAAGTCAACCCAGGCCGCAGGCCGCTTGATTTTGAACTGCTCGATAAAATCCTCTCCAAATATTTTACACAGAAGTTTTTCAAATTCATAGTCTACTCCCAAGGATCCGTAGGGTCCACCTGAATGGAGAATGAAATGGGAGCTCAAGCTGTTAAAAACCATGCAAAACTGAATCCAAACTCCAAGAAACAGGCCCGCCCAGGCTGCGAGGAAAGGTTCTCGCTGTCACTTCAGCCCCCTTAGTTTCTTCTCTTTCCATGTAGAGAAACTTTTCCTACGGGAATCTCTCATCAGCACTCCGTTTAAAATCAATTACACCTCAAATAAGAGCAATACATTCAGCTAGCGAGGAGAATCATGGTATCGCCACCCAGGAAATCCACAGGCAGAGCCTGGGCCGTCCACAGGCTCCTCTAGTCCCTGTGCACCTGTTAGCTATTCATTGCTCTGAACTCCCTTGCCCAGGCTCACTCGATGCCAAAACTCAAGTGGCTTGTATTGGAGAGAACATTGAACTGCATTTTGCTTTCCAATTTCAAACAGGCACTAGTGTCCTCCACCACCTACAATCCCACATGCTGGCCACACTGAGAAAGGAAGGAATCTGAAGTGGGTGACACGGAGCCCGCTAGAAAAGGCGCAGTACGAGAAAGCTAGCCATGCAGGGCTCACCTGTTGCTTTATACAGTTCCTTCAGGTGTCCCTCCGGTAACCGTATCTGATGGACTGTCAGGTCCACGGTTCCTCCACCACTGTCCACAACCACATACTTGTCACCTGGTACAAAAAGAGCCATCCTTTACATGGACCTCTGTCGGCCCCATCTAAACCAAGTTTGCGGGTGATAATTTGATATACCCAGCTAAGTATCATCAGCACCAATTATTAGCACAATGGTTTTCCCAGTTAGCAACATGGTGGGACATTTACAACTAAACAGAATGCGTTCACGTCTGCCCCTTCTTGTCACACAGTGCTGTGGACCTGGTATATCCCATTACCTGCTGTTAGCACAAATAGGATTTACTCCAGCATGGGGGGCTTCCAAATTCTTTCTTGGAAAGAGTCTACATGATTTTGCACCTTGCAAAAGTGCAGCTCCCAAAAGGGCTCTTCCCGGGCAACAGGCCTTTTAAAAACCCAGGGATCTGAACATTTTCCAAAAGTACAAATGGAACAAATTGGTATGCATTTTTGCCAGCAGCATTAAAAAAAAAAAAAAAAAAATCCAGCAAGGGCAAAGGACATTCAAGGACGCTACCTTCCTCCAGCTCAGACCAGATTTCTCCTATGACATTCTCCACCAAAAAGGTCCGACTCTGTCGATTACGCCGTACGTGTTCCTTAGCTAGTGGCCGACAGAAAGAAAATGACGACAGGTAAGAAAGCTTGAAAACGCAGACAGTACTCTGCAGTCAGTGGAGGCAACAGAACGAGGAGGTTTAGGGACGGAGCAGCCACTGGGGCTTGAGCCACACAATTAATACATACATTAGCGATCACAAAGCCAGTTCTTCCAAGAGAAAGGGGCTCTTTCTACCACCCTCATCTGTTATCTGCCTGGCAGCTCTGGCCTGTGTCCAGCCAAAAAGCCAGCCCTGATGAGATTCCTTCCCTCTGGTGACACTCTTTGAGGAACGGGTTAATAAAATCAGCCAGTCTCCCAGCTCTGCCACCCCAGGGAGGAAGCTGTGAGCCAAGAAGCTCGCAGTGCACTCAACTAAAATATTCCACATCAAGAAACTTTGTTCAGTGCAAGGAATGTGGGGTATGTTTTTCTAATCTGGATCCTGGTTCCTTGGATTAGGAGCCATTTCCTGACTCTTGTTGAAGTCAATCTTCTCTTTAGCCACAAGGTGGCGCTTCAGCCACAAGGTGGCATCTGAACCTAACAAAGGCCAGCACTGCCTTGCTCGTAAATCCTGAAGCCAACCTCTGCTTGAGTCTATATCCCTGCTGTGGTTTGGGGAGCACAGACGCTTGTGAGGAGGACAGGGTATAAATCACCATCCTAATATGCAGATGAGGAAAACGGGTCAGGCAAGGTGCAGGGACTTGCAGTTCCCACAACTCATCCTGCAGGCTGCAAGCCCAAAAGTGAACCTTCAGACCTCAAATTCAAATCCTCCCCAGGGGCATCCTCTGGGCTCCAGTCACGAAGGAGACTACAAGCATCTCAGATGGTCCTCAGTAAGTGCTCTACAGAGCCCCCCCTCCCCCAGGGTCCCCTCCTTCGGGCACAGCCCTTCCAATTAGAAAGCCAGGCTGACATCAGACGGCTCGCCTCCCTGCCACATGGAGGGGTGGTGACCAATTATTTGAAAATTTGAAACAACAAAAAGCCCTTCTGGGAACAAGCAGACAGCAGCAGATTCCACAAGCCACGGGACACAGACACAAAGCAGCATGTGGGGAGGTGGGGTCTGCTAAAGGGGAGGAAACCTCAAGCTAAGCTCCTGGGGAAGGCTAGCACTCAAAACCAGATTCCCCCAAAATGTGAGCATGGTGCTTAAGAGGAAGCACAAGAGCTGTGCTAGAATTAGCTGGTTCTGGCATGAATTCCTGTTTACGAATAACTGAGAATTAGCATGTAAGATAGAGGCCTGATCTTTCCCCCTCTTTTTTTATCTAATGAAAACAAATAGAAGAAAATATAAATTTACATATTATCCCGAGTACTTTGAGCATTGATGCATGTGATTGAGTTAGCAGTAAGTCTAGCACCACCCCCCTTAAGGAGGCTGAGCACTGCTAGAAAATGCCTAATCCAAATTGCAGAGTCAAAGGGAGGATGTTTCCATTCATTCTGGGCAAATCAGGTCTAAAGTGCTAACTAACACACAGCACCTGGCAGCTGAGGCGGAGACCTAGTGACAAGCAAACAGCCACAGCCTCACAGCTGAGCTTTCCAGACTCCTGACTCTAAGGATTAAAATGCAAAGAGGTGGCACCTAGGGCAGAGTTATCCCTGTGAGGAAGACGAAGGCCCTAGAGAAGAACCCAGCACATGTGAAGGCAGTAACCGGCATCTGCTCAGGGTAAGCCTAGGCGCAGGGCCTCCAGGAGCACAGACTCGGGCTTCCGGTGTGGGGACCCAGCGAAATCTGGGGACAAGCTGGTGGGATTGGAGGAGGGAGAAAATCCTCACAGATGTCTTCACTTCCCTCCTCCTGGACCTGGGGCCTTCTAGGGCAGCCTGCAAGTGAGCACAGGACACAGGAGGGTCTCTACCTGCCAAGCCTTCATCTGGGAATAGAGCAGAGTTCGGTGCCATGCTACACAGCGCCCCCCACAGGGCTCCCCGTTAACACCCAAGTTCATGGTGGTACTGTGACCCGGAGCTAGCCTGTCTACAAAGTCTGGAGCCCTGCATGCAGGAAAAGAGTTCCGGGGACGAAGACTGTGACCAACTTGCACGCAAGTGACTATGGGACAGAAAAAGCTCTGTCTTTTCTTCTCACAGCTAAATGATCATCCCTAGGTCAGGACAAGTCAGCCCATTTCCTCTGAATTTTAAACTCTCCTCCTCTAAAACACATAATGAGCTCATTACACACACACATACACACACACACACACAGCAGCAGCAGCAGCAGCCTCCATGAGTGAGTCAGCAGTAAATCAACAGTCTTAATGGAGGAATTAATAACAACCAAATGGCACCAGATTAAGAATCGGTTAATAAGCAAGGAAGATTAAGAGCTAGCAAGGTGACGGCCAAAGGCTGCTCTCTTGGGCCACCCTCAGGTGTGTGGTGGGCGATAAGCCAGAGTAACCACTGTGTAGTTCAGGGGGGTCCTCAGAGAGCCTGGGTAGGGGGCGGGGCACAGAGGGGCTTCGAGCCAAGCTCTTCCTGGAGTGTCATGCCTCTTCCTTATGGCACTAACTCTCACCAGGAATAGAAACGTCCAGGGCTTGGGAGGGGAAGAGCGGAGGGAGGGAGAGAGAGAGCAGAGGTACCCTGTGCAAACCCCGCTCCTACTGTGTCACTGGCGCTGTACCCATTGACCACCGCCTTGCTGCTCAGCTCGATCATCTGGTGCAGCCTCAGCTTCCGGCAGTAGATGGAGGCCGCCTCGGGCTCCAAGGCGATGATGAGCTGCTCCGAGTTCTCCGGGGAGGCCAGGCCCGCCTGGAAGACAGAGCAGAAACTGAGAGACACCGCTCCCTGGGCAAGTCCCCTCAGAGACAGCCATGCATCGGGCTGACCACTCCCAAGCAAGGGGCACTCAAGCTTCTGGGGGACATTCCACAACCCTCTGCGGGGCTTAACATCCAGGTGAGCAGGGGCTGGGCCACAAACCTCTCAGAGCGGTCCCCAAAAACGTACAAACGCCCTCCAGAAACACAAGGCTCTCGGCCACAGGCCTCCTGCACTTGGGAGTTTGCCGAGCCCCAAACTAGGAAGCACTGGGGAAGAGGCAGGGAGATTATGCGCTGGGGGGGCTCGGCGCTGAAGTGGTGGATGGATAGAGTTGCAGCTACCCGGAAACTCTGAAAATCATCACAAGACAGAAGATAAAACTATCTGTTCCCAGTGGCAGCGAGCCACGTGATCTGAGACGGAGCAAACCCCAGCCTTGCTGGAGCCCAGCTCGGCAAGCATCTGATTTTGCAGTAAGGGGACCTGGGAGGGTCCCCACGTTGGTCTGCTGGGGGTGACATAGGAGCAGGGCTCCTGGATAAGCCCCTCCTTGAATCCCATGGAGCCCCTCATTTTCTAGAATGTGGGTAGACAGTCAACTGAAAGGTATTTTATTCAAAGCCTTTACCCCTTTAATATATCTGTATTATACATATTTATCACATGTAATAATAAATATTATTAATATCCCCAAGTTCCCACCTTTGGCCCCCATAAGCAAACATTTGAGTCCTCAGCATGCAGGAGGCAGAAATGCTTCTGCTCTGTGATGCCCTACCTCAGTCACAGCCTCTCCAGGCTCTAAGCGGGACCATCCAGGAGGCCCCAGGACCACCCTTCTGAGGTGCTTAGAGAAACAGGCCTTGGTCTGCAACTGGGTCCCTGCCTACCTCCCACAGCTCAGGGCTGGAGCAGGTCTTGCTGTGCAGGCCACTCAGCTGCAGGGGGTTTCCTTGCCACCATCACCATGGACTCTATAGTGGTTCCCACCACCGCTGCACTACCTCGTGCCTGTTTCCTAGGAAACCTGGAGACGCTGCCCTGGTGCCACCCCCACTTTGGAGGAGGACACCAGACCTGAGGTTTGGTGGACTTTTCTCATAGACCAGGACAGAAGGACTCCTAACATGACACACGCACAAATAACTTTCTCAGCAGCAGGAGCGGGCCTTGAGCCATGTGCAGAGAGGCCTAAGGTCTGTTGCGGGCAGGGACCTGAGGTGGAGTCAGGTTGGAATATCAGAAATGTGACAGACCTTCTGGGCCTTTCATTCAATTGTTTCTCTTAATGTAGAAAGATGCCAAGACCCAAGAAGGAGATGGCCAACTGTCCCGCTTTGCTAAGGACCAAGGAACTTCCTGGAATGCAAGATTTTCAGTGCTAAGTGGAAAACAGTCCTGCTCAGCGCGTCCAGCATGTAAGTGGCTGCGCCAGTACAGGTTGGGCTCTTGAATCCTGCAGTCCAAGCTCTTTAAGCCACTCAGCTCTCCTGTTGTGAGTGCGTCCAGTTAGCAAGGAAGAGCCTACACCTGGTACTTTGAGAAAACTTCCAGTGCCTCTAACACTCCCTTCTTGATGGTTTAGATGTACCATCTCTTCACCCATTGGCTCCAAGACAGTATCAGATGCTGTCCTACCTGAACAGGCAGCCAGAAGTTCTCCACAACAACCACACCCAAGATAACCACCATTATTTATGTCTTAATGAGATACCACGGAGGGACTGAAAATCTTCACTTTGTGAATACTAACACTTCCTCACAAGACTCAGAAGGTTCTCAAAGGTGGAGTTTATAAAAACCACATGAACCACATCCACGGCCTGCACAGTCCACAAGGAGCCCTTTGTTCACTGCACAGTGCCCTTGGCTCCACCCAGTCAGAAGGGCAGTGTCAACATCCACTGGCCTGGTCTATGGATCAAACAGGTGAGGTCTTCCCTAAGTGACACTGGTCAGCAGGCCACTGACTCAGGCATGGAAAGATTTTCCACTGCTCCCTGTTCAAGCAATTAAAAGTTCCCCTCCCTGAGCTTCCCTTTTGCCCAGCATCACAGCAGACATCCTTAGCACAAAGACAGCTGAAAGTTGAGGTGCCCAGCAAAATAGGACCTGGACATGTGAAGCGACCCAGGAATGGTGAAATCCCTGAACGTGAGCCCCAAGAATCCCTGCAGGAGAAATCCAAATACAGGCTATGAGGACCTTCCTCAGTTTGTAGCTTCAAGGACCTCCTTGGGTGAGGAACGAGTAAAGACTATCTTCAGAGGAAAAGTACAAGAGTCTCTTTCAAAGTTCAGACTATAAAGTGCACTGGGAGAGGGGAAGCACTGCCCAAGGGCAGACCCTAAGGACTCAGAGTGAAAGGAAGCAAACAAAGACCCCGATGACTCAAAAGCCCTTCTTATTCTTATCAAATCCCGCTAGGCTGTCACCTGACCAAATAGACTGCTCCTTGCCAACAACAGCCACCTGAGTCTGCGTCATGGCATGGGAACAGGGAGAGAGAAAGGACTGGACATGAGTGGAATGAGTGCTTCATTCCACTACCGACCCTGTTCCTGAGATTCTCTGCAAGAACTCTGACTTGGGTGGGAATATTAATATGGAAAATCAAATCCAGAAGTCCAGAATATGAAGGGGTTTGAGTGAAAGACCTGAGTGTGCTGGCATGTGCCTGACAATCCTGCAGGACAGCTCTTCTCACTGGCAAGCTCTCACATCTTCACATGGAAAAAACACACCCAAAATGATCCAGGTCTGCCCCTGAAGCACAGGCTCTGCACTGCAGGGGGAAACCTTTGACCTGCCCCTCCCCACCAGGCTGGCCTTGAGTCCATAGCAAAATTCTGTCCCATTTCCACAGAGGGCTCCCCATGACACCCAGAAGAAGATGCAGGCGGGAGGGGTGCGGAGGTTGAAGAATGCCCCACTCCAGAGGGGAGGAAGCAGTCAGAGGAGAGACAGGCCTGGGCAGGGTCTGGGAGAGCCAGGACAAAGTAATCATGCCCCTTTCCTGGACCCAGCCCTTGTCACACTTTCCAACGAGACTGAGGCGCTGTGTTCCTGCCAGTAAAAGCCCGTGGAGCTATAGTGGAGAGTGTGGGGTTGCAGGGCAGTGTGGGGAGAGGAAGCAGCTGGCTCTGTGCAAATTCTATCTCCTCAAGAGGAGTCTCAGAGCTACTTGAGGACTCCAAGAACAGGAAGAAATGCAAAAGAATCTTCCAGACTCCCAAAATCCCAGCTGTCTTGTCTCTGGCAGGCAATGCTGTGCTTGGAAGTGTGAGCTTTGTTTCTGTACAAACACTCCCAACACTTACGACAGCAGCCCTCCAGCCTCAGAAGACCTGTGGGTCTCTTTGCCTGAGATCAGGCCAGGGTCGACTAGAGCAGGCCATTCTTCCTGATTCTGCCAATTCTGCCTTTGGAGCTGGTACCGTACTGTTACTATTCCAGTGTGGGCTTTCTCCCCAGTGGGGCCTCTGCCAAGCACTTCACACATGCTGTCTCCAACTGTATAGATAGTGTAGGCACATCTAGCTTCTCTTGTAAATGGTACATTTTCTAAGGGCAACAGTAACAATCAAGTCCTCTTGGCCTGCAACACATAGTAGGTACTCAGGGGGGCAGCTGATACGCCAATGACCCCACCACCCCTCCAGCTGGCCTTTCTTCTGTACTTTCCCAGCCCTCGTCTCTGCTGTACTCAACATAAGCATTCCACAGACGCCTGGGGATTGTACAAACAGAGAGTGTGCCAGTGGGGAAACATCCTATTCCATTTGACTCCTCCAGGACGCTGGGGCAGCAGGAGCAACCTCATAGTGGCTTTTTAACACCTTGCTTTGTGATCACGAGCTCCACTCAGGGGGAGCAGGCGAGAAAACTACCCTCCAGGGAGCTGCAGAAGTGAATGTTTACCTTGACTACTCCGCTTCCAGCCCTCCTCCTCAACCCTGCAATCTGCCAGGAAAATCTGCCAAAGGACTGTGTCCACAGCTGAGAAAAATGGCCAGACCAGTTAAGTGCTCTGCCGGCCCGTCATCAGGCTAAAAACGGCTCCAGCTGCACCAGTCCTGGGTGTGATGCACTTTCATGTGTCCTGATTGGATTATTTTTCACTGCAGCTTATTCAGACTGGGAGGCAAATGAAAGCTGCGCCTCCATGTTCGATGAGATCATCGTACATACGGGAGCTTCATTTTTATTTAACAGGTTTCTGGAACCTACTAGAGTTACATATTTTAGGCAAAATGTCCTTAGGAAAAACCGGACTGCTTCCTATCCACAATTCCCCTAGATTCAGTGGATCTCTCTCCCAGTTCCAGGTCCTTCCCGAAGGCCTCAAAAGAGGGATTAGGGGCTGGGGACTTAGCTCAGTGGCAAAAGCGCCTGCCTGACAAGCGCAAGGTCGTGAGTTCGGTTCCCGGTACCGGAGAAAAACCAAAAAAAAAAAAAAAAAAAAAAAGAGGGATCAGCTGTTCTTTCTGTTACTGAATGCTCTTAAAGGGTCTACCGGTCTCCCCAAGTCTGAATTATAAAAGATACTTAACCCACTTCTTCACCACACACGGAGACCAGCAAGCTTGGGGAATTCCATGGATCACGTGGAACTACATGCAAGGCTCTGTAGGCCTCATGGGGAGTGAGTGACTCAAGAGGATGTCCTGGACTCCAGACTGGAAGATGCTGTGTGAAGCAAAATCCTTCCTCCACATCATGCCTGTCTCCCTCTACCTGGCAGGTGGGAGGATGAATCTATCCCACTTGCCTGTGCCCTGAACTTGTGCCCAGAGAGCCTGGAAGGAGGGGGTCCATGTTTCCTGTGCAGGCAGAGCGGACCCTTGTAGTTTCCTAACTATCTCCGTGGCATAACAGTTCTATCTCAATCCTCCAGCAACTCTGCCTCAGGCCAATGGGATGCACTTTGCAGGGGATGGGGGACCCTGAGACAATTGCCACTGTGTACAAAGACAGAGGAGAGAGAGAGAGAGAATGTGTTTAAGGATTTAGCTCACAATTACGGAGGCTAGCAAGTCCCAAATCTGTAGATGGCAAGCTGAAAACTCAGGAGGTGAAAGAACTGTAAATCCTGTCCAAAGGCCAAGGAAGTTCAAGACCCAGGAAGAGCAGATGTTTCAGTCTGAATTGATGATGGTGGGGGGAAACCAAGATCCCAGCTCAAAGGCAGGCTGGCAGGGGCGTCTCATGTCACTCAGGGAGGGTCAGCCCTTTGCCTATTCAGGCCTTCAGTGGATCAGCGAAGGCCCAGCTGCATGAGGGAGGGATTTCTACTTTTCCGGGTCTATCCATGTAACGCAGTCACAGAAACCACCATAACACTTTTTATTTAACCAGACACCTGGGCACTCCCTGGCTCAGTCAAGCCGATTAACCACCACAGGATCATCTCCTTCTCATTCTGTGTAACAAAAGCACAGTGACATGGGGGGGTGGAGGATTTAGCTCAGCGGCGAAGCGCCTGCCTGGCAAGCGCAAGGTCGTGAGTTCGGTTCCCGGTACCGGAAAAAAACAAACAAACAAACAAACAAAAAAAAAAACAAAAAAAGCACAGTGACACGGAGTGGAGGGATGTGGCAAGCTTCACCCCCATTCTGCCCTGGGACACTTCCAGAGGGCAAGCTGAAGAGACTGCAGAGAAATCACAAAGCGACCATGTCCACAATGCACTTCCAGTAACCCCAAACTATGAACCACTTGGCCCTACGCAACCTGAGGGCAGGGACTCTATCTCGGTCAGCTGGATGAGTCCAGTACCCACGAAAGCCCAGCACACAGAGGCCCCAGTGTCGGTGTCTAATGAATGAACTAACAAATGAACAAAGGATTGTCAATACCACCTTTAAATCTACTGTCACAGGAAACTGAACACAAGTATCAAAGCACAATTACAAAGGGTCAAAACCTACGCTGCAAAAACACTGTGGCAGACAAAACTCCCCAGCATCAAGAAGATAGTACGTATCTACAGTGGATCCCTGGGTTTCAGAAAGCAAATTCCCCACATCCATAAACTCTGGCCACCCCAGTCCCTGTCAACAGCTGCTGGCCCTTTCCTGTCTGAGGGGCCTGTTTTTTATTCCACTAAAGCTAAGGCAACTGTGCTTTGCCCCTAACTGACTTCCCTTCCAGACTGTCCAGTGTGGGACGCTGCAGAGAGACACTCCTACTTTCTTTTCCAGGCTAAAAATAAGGCCTGACCCTTTCACAGGTCACACATTTGTTGCTGAGCCTTCCTACAGACTGGGAAAAGCAAGTCAATGCCACAAATCTTGAATATCCTTCCTGGGAGGAGCTCAGAGCAGTGGGGGCAGTCTCTGCAGGCAGTCACATCCCTGGGTCCCATCTTTGGACACTGCCCGAAGATTGACAGTACAGGAAAATCACAGCGATGCCCTGAGCTTCAATGCATAGCTAACATGATTTATTTTTCTTTCCTTCTTAAAAGAAACTGCCTTTTTCTGGAACTTCCACCCTCTTCCTTCATCCCTAGAAAAACAAATCTATTTTTGGCAGATCCACACACGAAGCCAGATTCTCAGGCTGCACGGAGGAAGAGGAGAGCAGAGGAACCAGCCCAGGAAAGCGTGAAGGAGGGGAGGGGGTGCTCCCCCCCCGGCCCTGTGCAAGCCGAACTGAGCACACTGCCTGCAGCAAAGCCCTGCGTGCTCAACCAGTACAAGGCACCGGGGCTCTCGGGCCATTTCACTGCACTGTGGGCTCGGGGTCCATCCTGCGAGTGTTTTGTGAAGAAAGGCTCATACCCGTGGTCACCAACAACTCAACAGCCGAGGCTGCCCCAGGAAAGGCGGGCAGGATGTCTTATTATTTTGGTGAAGTGCCTCACCGCCTGAGGTAGCAGGCTTAGAACACGGACTCTCGAGGTACAAAGAACTGAGGCCCTGAGAGGGAGGTTCCCCTAAACCCAGGGGTTGGAGTCCGACAGAGGCCAGCTCCGCCCCAGGAATCAGAACAGCAGGGCAGCACGGCCAGCCATTCTGCTGAAAGCTCAGCCCCTCATGGGAGACAGCAGGGCACAGGCTGACTGCAGATGCGAGAGTTGGAGCCATGAGGGTTTATGGACCCGGTGCCCACAGGGACGCGCTGGCCACTGCACTGAGATCCTGTCTCCGAGGGTCAACAAGCACCTTTCTGATGGCACACCAAGTCACCATGCCACTACTGTCACACAGGCACCAACCACCACGCGGGTGACAGCCCTTCCCCCTCGGAGTGCAATCATCTTTCCTTCATTTCCCAGATGCAGATACACAGTTTTCAGCCTCCAACCAAACTAAAATCCCTGGTTCATAGCTAACAGCCTCTTATTTACTTTTTTCTTTAGTGGGGATTGAACCTGGTGCATTCACACCGAGCCCCAGCCCCAGCTCTGCTCAGATGGGTCTCATTAAGTCACTAAATTTCCCAGGCTTGGGTCAAGCTCACGATCCTCCTGCCTCAGCCTCCCAGAGTGCTGGGATTATGCACATGCACTACCATGCCAGGCTGTCTTTATTCCTTTCTTCAAATACTCTTGTTTCCCAGGCCATTTCTTTATAGTTCTTTCATCCATTCACCCATAGAGAAATGTCTCTGAAATCCCAGCCCCAGGGAATCTACAGTGGAAACATGGCCTGGAAAAGAATGAAGATAGAAAGAAACTGGACCCCACCCCCTGTCATTGTTGGACTGAGCCCTACTTCTCTCCCAGGAGGAAGCTGAGGAACAGGAAGGCTCCTCGTCCCCACGCCCCAGCCCCTTCCCGCGGGAGCTTCCTCACTGCCTCCTGAGGAGCTGTGAATGCTGGACAATCCCTCAGCGGGCCACCAGCCCAGACCACCTGGTTCCTTCTCCCGCAGCCCCACCCACGCTGACCCCTGGCCTCACCTGGTAGGCAGCTTGTCTCATGAACTGCTTGGCCGGCTGCTTCCAGATGGCAGGCACCGTGATGACCCATCTGACGTCGGAGTTCTCAAACTCCGACCCCGCCTGGTCACTCAGCTCCTGGGGCCAAGAAAACAAAGGCAGCAGGTCAAGCAGCACCGCAGTTCCCTGGGGCTTCACTGAGAATCCACAGACTCTGGAGCAGTCTGTCCTGCACATCCCAGCAAAGTTCCTGAATATGCAGCAAGCCAGGAGCTCTGTCTCCATCCGCTCACTGAGCAACCTGGGAGAGAGATGTGAGGCAGACGAAATCCCTTTGGCTGCTCCCTAGGTATGGGACTCAGACAGCTGACAACCTCTCAGGCCTCAGTTTCCATGTGTACACAATGAGGGGGAGGGCAATACCCGGCTCCTACGTTGTGTGGTACATTGAGAGCTGCTACTGAGCACCTGTTATGTGTCCACCCCTTTGACTACTTGGTGTGCCCTGTTGACCCATTCAACAGATGGGAACACTGAGACTTACACATGCTCGGTTCCTTTCTGACCTCTGTACAGCTTGCAAGTGGAGGAGCCAATATTAGGCCCAGACCTAGGTCTGTCTTGACTCTAAAAGCCAAGGTCTTAAGTAAACTGTCGTACATGGTCTCATGTCTAGGACAGTGCCCAGACACAGTTAACATCTGACAACCAGCAGCAGCTGTTGTCATCACTGTCATCTACCTTCCACATATGGGGGGCACGGGGGTCCTGGCAGGACAGGAAGGGTGTGAATGACATGACCTAAGAACCACATCACCCTTAGCTTTGGCTAAGGTTACGCCAACCACATCGGTGGGGCCCCTAAGGATAAATGGGACTGGCGAAAGCATCAGAGGGTCCCCCTGGCTCATGCAGACAAAAGGTATTGCTGCAATATTTCTCAGGCTCAGAAGTCCCATCTGTAAAATGGGGATAATAAAAATAACTCACAGCATTATTAGCAAAATTAAATGAAAAACATATGGAATGTCTGGCCTGAAGGCAGCCTCTCCTCAATATCAAATCCTGCTTCACCTTTCCCTCCTTTTGCCACACTCACCAGTCAAATCTGAAATCCAACTAAACACACTCAGGTGCTTCTGCAACAAAGCCAGTTCTGGGCACTGATTTTAATTAATGGGCTGGATCTTTAAAAAACCCCTTTTCCTGACGGTGTTTCATGTTCCCTATTGCTTCAAATAGTTCTCTTGGGTCTGACCTACGTCCTCAACCAACTAACTTCCTCTTGGAGCAGCAAACTTTCTTTTTTTTTGTCTTTTAAAAAAATTCTAAAATTTTAAATAGGGTAAAAATACATGCACCATAAAATGTACCATCTTAACTATTTTTAAGTGTATAGGTCAGCAGTGTTAAGCATATTTCATATACTGTTTTTCAACATTTTTTCAAAATGCCACTGCCTTGGGCCAACGTAAAGTAGCCATTTGTTGTCACTATATCTTATTTGCCTGCAGGTCTGCGTGGGGCTTTATTTGTTATTATTTTTTTTTCTGGTTTTTTTTTTGGGTACCAGGAATCAAACTCATGACCTCGCACTTGCCAGGCAGGCGCTGTGCCGCTGAGCTAAATCCCCAGCACCTTGCATGGGGCTTTAAAAAGCCCATGAACAGGCTGACATATCGGGTCACATCCTGGTTCGTCCTTATAAAGCCACCCAGAAGGGTGCCCCACGCTCAGGACCTCCTCTAGACCTAAGGACATCTCGAAGGTCACCTGCACACGCCACTGAGGCGTGCGTTGGGGGATTAAGTTTCCAACGCATGCGCTTTTAGGGGACACTGTCAAACACGGCAGTGATCCAAGGGACTCTCAGATGTGCTTCTTCCAAAGCGCCTGCTGCAGGCATGGAGGAGGAGGAAGAGACCACAGCCAACATTTACTGTACACCAGGCCCCGAGGGAAGCACTGCATATCCAATTTTTCATTTACTATCAAACAACGCACAAAGTATGGCTACTCACCCCACTCTCCAGGTTAGGAAAGTATCACAAAGATTAATGGCTTTGTCCAAAACTCCATAGCTGCTAAGCGCGTCTCTTGTCTTCCTTTTGTAGCAAGGTGATGTAATCACACATGACAAAATAGGCCCTTTGAATGTGCATAACTGAGTGGGCCTAGTATGAGCACAAGACGGTGTGACCAACGCCACTACCTAATCTCATCAGCCACCGCTTTAGCAGTCGCTCCTCCGTGCTGCTTCCCAAGCCCCTGGGAACCACTAATCCCTTTTCCGACTATGGTTTTGCCTGCTCTGGACATTTCATGCAAATGGAGTCAGATGCTATGAGGCCTTCTGTATCTGGCTTCATTTATTTCTTTTTTTTTTTTTTTTTTTTTTTGGTTTTTCTCCGGTACCAGGAACCAAACTCACGACCTTGCGCTTGCCAGGCAAGCGCTTTTGCCACTGAGCTAAATCCCCAGCCCCTGGCTTCATTTATTTCAGGGCTCATCTACACTGCAGTATTTATCAGCATTTCATTCCTCTTTATGGCCCGGTAACAGTCCACTGTGTGCATACACAACATTTCGGCTACCCATTCACCAGATGACAGATGCTGAGGTACGCTGCTTCCACGTTTTGGTCATTTCAAATGGTGATGCTATGAACATTCACGTACACGAGTGTTTGTGTGACCATGTTTTCATGTCTCTTAAGTACACACCTAGGAGTGGAACTGCTGGGTCCTGCGGTAGCACCGTGTTTGACCTTTTGAGGAGCTGCCTACCGGGCTTCCAAAGCAGCTGCGCCACTTTGCCCTTTTCCCAGCAGTGTCTGAGGGTGCATCCTGCCGTTCCGCCCCCAAAGCCTGTGCTGTCGCCCTCCAGGCTGAACACCCACCACCTACACACGGCTGCTGGCGGCCAACGTCAGTCCTACCTTCAGCGCCTGCTCCTTAAAGTACTGCAAGGCGTAAGCAAAGATTTCAAGGGCTTTGACTTTCTTCCCATTTGCTGCCGTCAGGTCTGTATCCATGGTGAGGTCCTGGTAAGGGTAAGGACAGAGTGAAATAATAATAAGAGGAAGGGGAGACATGCTTTTGCTTTGGGGGCTGCTGCTTTGTGATCTGGGGAGTCATGGAGCCGTATTTGTGCTTCTTCGTGGTTGCCAAGGCAGATTAGGATGGTGCGCCCTCCAAAACGGGGCCTGGCAGCATTGTTCCCTTTCTGTGTAAGGGGTTCTGGCTGCTCCTCACCCCACCTTGGGGTTCTCTGGGAACAAAGGTTTGGGGGAAACAGCAGAGGCCAGGGGGACAAAACAAAGAGCAGGCGTCACACCCGATGTAATTTATATTTATATCCCACATGTGAACACACACGGTCGCCCTCCGAAGCCCTCATGGAGGCTTAAATCATGCCAACTCACTGCCATGCATGACACTAAACAGACAAGAAGCTTTCATTCCCTAGCGAGCTGCCAATCAAGTCACCAAAATAGAAAAGCTCCTGTTTTAAAGGCCTGCCCTGTCTAATCCACTGGGAGCGCAGCCTGACTGCCTCCCCTCCTTTGCCAGGAGCTAAAGCCGCTGCTGCGCATGGTCCTTGGACAGACGGTGCTCTGTAGATCCCAGATGCTGGCTGGACAGAGGTCATTAAAAAATGATGAAGAATGTCCCCGTAGGGTGGAGGATGGGCAGGAAGTGGGAGCAAAAATCAGGAGGAAGCCCCTGAACCAACAAGCTCATTAGTGCCAGGGAAAAAAATCCGTGGGGCCTCTGGCTGATGCAGGGTAGATAATTACGCTGTGCCTTTGGAGTGAGTTACTGAACAGCCTCGTGCAGCCGGCCAGGTGTGTCCTGACCCACTGCATGTGCCCGCTCCTCCCAGCCAGCCACCCCCTTCTTATGGTGCTCAGCAAAGATGCTCTAGTTTTGGGCTGCCAGGCTCAGGAAGGTAGCCAAGCGCCAGAAAGCCCTGGCTCTGAACTGGAAAAAAAAAATATCTCCTTGTTGCCTCCACCTCCACAATCCTGATACTTAGCATCAAATCTCATCAGAAGAAATGGGTCCTGAAGTCCTGACACAGAGAGAGACCCACGGGATGAGCATGGATGCTCAGAAGGCAGGGGATGGCCGCGGAGTTTACTATCCACATTTGTTTTCTCATCTGCAAATAGCAGCAGACAAAGGAAAGCAGGGCTAATAGGAGCTAACACTTGATTAGAATTTATCCTGTCCCAGGCACAGCTTGGAGAGATTTATGTGTTTGGATTCCTCTAATCCCTATAAGATCCCGTGAGCAAGGCACTCTCACTGTCTCCATTTTATAGAAGAGGTCAAATGAGGCACGCCCCATTAAGTAGCTTGAAATAAATGTCCTGAAGGTACCAGAGGCAGGATTTAAACCCAGGACACCTGGCTCCAGAGCCCTTGAGCCTAAGCAGTGTAACCACCACCTGTGTCTCTAAGTTCCGGGCATGAGGGAACATCTACGTCAGGGATGGGGAACCTTTTAGAATTTTCAATGATGCAATCAGCCCGCTGTGGTATGTGTGCCACAGGTTCGCCACTGCCGATGTGGGATAAAATGTTTACATTGAAAAAAGTCCATCCTGTCCCCCAGACTTTCCTTTCTTACAAGCTTTGGGGGCAGGGTGGCAGGGTGCTTATCTTAGACAGTTTATATAACACAGGTTTGCTGCAAGCAGAACTGAGGCCTCAGTGCTGGCATTTGGGCTTCCAGTTCCTGGGCACTTGATGTCCTGAGCTCCCTCCCACACAGAGGGCTGACTGCCAGCTGTTACCAGTTGTTTCTTGCAGACTAGTTAGTTAATAGCCACTGTCCCTAGTCCTCTCCCCAACTGTTCCTGACCCCTAAGTTGCTTCCTATGCATAGAGGGTCCCCTGATTTCCCAATAATCCAACAACTGAAGGGGGGACCCCAGCCCCCTCTATCTATGCAGCAGCCAGGGTCCCCTCTGATAGACCAGTTGTTAGATATCCTGAATATCGCCCTGCCCACATTTAATTTAGAAAGCGCTGTGCTATTTCTGAAATCAAGGTGAACAGACAATAATTTCTGCTTGGGAGACAGTGGAGGATACCCTGGTTTGGAAAGCTGCATACCGCGCCCCCCCTCACCCCGCCCCGAGAGGCTGGGGGGCCCTTGGCTCTCTTAAGCAGAGAACACGGGCTGGGAAAGAGGCTTGCTCACCCCTGTGGTGTGCAGCTTCATCTTGAACTTCTCCAGGTATAGCCACTGCTTGGCCTCATTGGGATCCAGGTCATGGTAGAAGTCCCTGGCGGCATAGCCAAAGCTGTGGAACTTCCTCTCGGGTGTCAACAAGATGGTGGTTGGGGTCTTCTGGTTGGACACACCAGGATCACCTCCTTCCCATCGCCTGCCACCAAGGGAAGCCAGAGGTTATGGGGACTTCTTTAAAAATCCCAGTTCAGGCAGCATCTTCCCGATGCATGGCTGCCTCAGACACACTCCAGATCAGCTGGTGGAGTAGTGACTGGAGACACAACTGCAGTTAACACCAAGTGCCACACTGCTACTCAATAGCAAGGTCTGCCTTTACCCTTTCTCTCGGCATTACTGACCCACCACTGTATGCCACACGCTGGTGACACAGGGCTGAAACACGACCCTGCCTTCAAATAACTCAGTCTAGTAGGTAATGGATTTGTTTTGTGGGGAGGGGTTAATTTGCAAGCACAGGGTCCCAGGGAAATGGCCTGATGGGTCAGAGAAAGCAAAAGTGCCAGCCGGTGGAGCCTGGGGGAGAATATAGGACTGAAGAAAGACTAGAAGCGAAGGGCAATTGAACCTCAAAGGAGGGAAGGACACGCGGCTGCTCAGAGGCGAGCAGGTGCCAGGCATGCGTAGATGCCATGTGGTCAGGATGGTTACACCAGCAGTGTGTGAATGAGAAGAGAGACTGTGTAAATGAGAACTGTGAGAAGAGATTGCACAAGCGGTTGGAAGGAGGCTGGGAAGGACCCTAAGAACTCAGAGAGTCAAACCACAGACAACGGGGCATGACAGTAGGTCTCAGCAAAGGCACGGCAGAATCAGAGCTGCTGTTCATGAGAGCAAACTGGACCAAAGGGAGAGTGACAGGAAGCAGCCAGGAGGAGGTGAGAAATAGGTCACGTCTAGCCTGAGAGCAGGGGTGAGCCGTAGGCAGAGAGGTGGAGATGGAGGGATGTGGAGCTGGTCCAGAGAGAAGGGCAACCACTTGCGCATGTGCTGAGCAGGAGCACAGGTGCCCCACAGCCTGCAAGCTTGGGAGCCTGGCGCAGAGAGTGCAGACCTATGGTGAACAGCCCTGCCCAAGGACGGAGCCAAGAGAATGCTGCGGAGCCCCGCTGGTGTGTGCAGTACTGAATTTCTGGGGGCTGAAGACACAAGCTTTCAGCTTAGTGACAGCAACAGTGACTAGATGGGATGGGAGAACTGAGGAGACCATCAAGGAGGGAAGTGACCATGCATGGTCGTGTACCAAGGAGGAGCCAGGTAAGAGGCAGGGAGGGTACAGACAGAAACACAGACAGAAAGGTGCGATGAAGCCTCCTTCCTTCTTTCAGGCAGAAGGAACGGGAAGTGCATGGGGAAGGCTAGTGTCACTATGTGCTTCCTCTCTCCTTGAGAGTTGCTGCCCAGAAGCCAGAGCTGCTCAGCACCCAGGATGCCCCCTTCCCAGCCAGGCCCCAGCCACACGGCCCCGGGGACAGCCCCAGATGGAGATTCGCTGCGGAGGGGAAATGGGCCACATCCCCTGGCTCCCCGGGGAGGTGGCTGCACCCAGTCTGAGCTCCAACCTGTTCCCCGCACTGGCTCGCTAAACATTAGCAGGGCCACTGGCGTCCAGACGGACTGCAACTGCCAGTGAGATTTGCCACTCAGATAGCCCTGGAATCATCCCTGTCCAATTTCTCAGTCAAACTCCATCAGGATGCACAGCTCAGCCTCGGCAGCCGAAGTCCCCAAGGTGACGGCATGGAGACAGACACCGGAATGATTCTTATGCCACGCAGCAACTCCCCACACTGCATTTCACAAAAGGACCTGTCATTACTATCAACAGTGACATCTGCAGCAGATAACGACCCCATGAGCTTTTCCCCTTCACATTTTTCTTCCTTCATTCCTATTTAAATGCAAAGTATTAAACTTCCTCTTTCAAACCTGTGTAAATCTGTACCATGGCTATGTTAATATGTTCTGATGAAATAAAATTGAGATAGAACCGAGCTCCCTACAGGATCTCTACAATAACTAAGATAACGTCTCTAGAGGCCCTGAGCCGTGGTGATGCTCTAAGTGTTCACCAGGCAAGTTCAAAGTTACTTTTCTTCTTCTTGCTTTATTGTCATTGCTTGACTATCCTGTGGAAAAAACATTTCTTAGAACTACATGGAAGCTCATAAACATAGATCGTGCTATTTCCACTCAAGGGCTGGACCACAGAGGGCATCACCAATATCTGTCTGGCCCAGCAGAGGTGGACACCTAGGGACAACCAAGCACTGATGAGCATGCGGGTATGCCGTCATCAGGATTCACTAACAGGTCGAGCTTTCCATTATTTTCCAATAAGACCACCCCAAGGGCCTCTGGAGCCTCTCACATCAGGCTGAGCCACTCTAGTTTTTAAGAGAAAGTAGGACCTAAATCAAGATTGAGTGGGAGGCATGTGGAAGATAACTTGGGTTACACACAATATTTTATAAAAATACCTAAAATCTTACTCCAGAAGGGATGACTAAATGCCACAATCACCCAGGTAAAGGAAAGGCAAAGCCAGCTACAATGGATCTGAAGCCATCCCTTGGATGCGAAATTAAAAGGGTAAGTCCCAGGTTTCCAAAGCTTTGAAGGGCACAGATGCTGCAGGAAGGTCATAGGTCAAGACTGGGAGAGCTGACACCGGTGCCTAGACAGACCAAGTCCTCACAGACACTGGATCCTGGAGGCACATCGTGTGAGGACCTGATGGGCCGCTGTGTGCAGGATGGTGTGGGGGGCTGTCCCACACAGTAGACCCCAAGAAGCTCCAGGGGCCAATTTGCTGTGAGAGTCACTCGGCTAAGATTTACACCTCACTGTTTCTCCCAAGCTTGGTGTTTTCTGCCTTTGGCAGTGTCACTGGCATTGTCTTCACTTACGTGCTGAGCATTCCCTTAATCTGCTTGAACACTCATTTTACAGATGAGGAGACTGAGGTTTAACTGAGGGGACTGAGGTTCAGAAACTGCCTTGGGTCACACAGCAAGTGGCTGCTTCAGCATTTGGACTATCTCCATCATAGGCGGTTGGCTCCTGTCACACAGGCGCTATCCTGGAATTACCGGGGCCAGGCTTCACACATACTGCACAATCCCTCTCCAGACAACTAAGTCAGAATTAAACCAACAGCTGACAAAAGGGAACCTGGAGCTCTGAGGGTCTGGGTTGACCTGAACCAGAAACCCAGAGTCTTCCTCCTAAGTGCCATCTGCCATGGCAGTGACTAGCTATGCCCGAGTGTCCACAGTGCAGTGACAGATGAGGCCACAGATGATGTCCCTCCTGTTATGACACTCACCTCATCACATGGATGCATTCTGGCTCTTTGGTGAAGCTATAGGCATAGCCGCTGGATGTGGTCCCAAAGTCGACGGCCACCACCACAAGAAATGTCTGCTGTTCTGAGACGTTGGAGTTGGCATCATTCTGCAGATGTACAATGAGGTACTGGGGGCCAGAGCCAGGCTCGGCCTTCAGGAAGACCCCAGCTTTGGGCCGCTGCATTCTGCAGTGCCCTTGCTGCATGAGGAAGGAACCCCCCTCTTCTGCCCAGGATTCCACGTGGCAGCGCTGGGGTAAGGGCAGACCAGACCAACCTCACCTGAGTGGCTCGGGGGAAATGCAGGCACCCTGAGGGGAGCTAGGCTGACTGCACGTGAGCACAGCCTGCAGCCCGCCTGCTCCCCTTCATTAATCGTGCGTGCGTGCATGTCGCTAATTACAGAAGTGCTGCCATCAGGGTGGAAGCCCTGCAGCTCCCCGGGTAGACAGTCCTCCCACTCTCTCCCTTAGTCCTTGCACCAACCTCCAGCTGCTGCTCAGAGGACTCTGCCAGCTGTGCCCTTCAGGCCTCCCACCGACCTCTCCATCTGTGCCAGCATTCCATGCATGTGAGCGGGCTTGGCACACCTGGAACCTTCCCGGTCCGGCATCCTCTGACCCAGCTGAGCTGTGTGCCACTGGGGCACAGAGCCTTTCCCTATATGTCAAGTCCCTAGGGCAGGTCACTCCAGGTTTCCCAAGGTTTCTTTCTTTAAACAGCGTAGATTTTCTTTCATTTTTTCAACTCCCACAGAATTCCAGACTACAAGCAACACACTTTAGGTTTGGCGGGACTGGCTGAAGCAGGGGACAAGAACACTACTCACTGGCGTCTCCTCCTACTGCCCACCGTATGTGTGGCGCTCTAAAGCTCCTATGGATGTGAATTTTGAAAACCACAGCACCTGGCCACAGGTGCCCAACCCTCCCAGTTGTCCCAGACTGAGGTTAAATTCCAGGATACAGGAATTTTGGTATAAAACGGGGACATTCCATGAAAACCAGGGCAAGCTGGCAGCCCCTACTCAGTGGTAGCCCCAAAGTTCTCAGCAGCATGTTGGTGGACCTGAGTGGGCTGTGCAAACTGCCCTTTCCTCAGGTGCTTCATTCCCACTGGCTACACACACACACCGCTCTGAACAGCTGCCCCACACCATCCACCTCTTCCTGTAGTGCAGGTTAGGGCGAATCCTGCTCAGAGCTTCTCTCTTGGGCAAGCTGCTGCAGAAGCAATTACCCAGCACAGGCTTGTGGAAACGGCAGGTAACCAGAGTGGGCAAAGCCCTTGCATTTTACTGGTTCACCTGCCAGAACTGGCCACTTCCTTCCAAGAAGAGGCTTTACTGTCTCTGGGCCCCGAGTCTTTAAAAGAGCTTCTCCCACCCTGCTGGCTCCAGACACACCAGCCATAGCCTCGCAAGTCTTTCTAAGCCCAGGGGCACGGCAGGGCCCAGGTGGCTGGTAACGGGTCAGTTTAACCTCCACCCAGTGGATACAGGTGCCGCGTAGCAGCCCGAACTATTAGAACAAACCCAGAAAGCATCACACAGTAACACACACACTCGCATGCACGCATGCATGCACGCACACATGCACATATGCACGCATGCACAACTTCTTACCACAATATGGGATGGAGAGAGAGGCGTTATTCCTGTGTCTCCAAGACTCCGGGCTGGAGATGAATATGCAGACGTGGGGGCTGTTTCTGAAAGGAAAGACAAAGTCTGTTCTTTAGAAGCGACATGGGCTAGCCCAGAGAACACAAGTGAGGCCTGCATGGCTTTGCCCCTCTAGGCATGTGGCTTCTCCAATGCCATCTAAGCTGAAGAGCAGGGCCAAACTGCAGCCAGGAAGGCAAGGCATCCACATTCAGCCCAGCATGCCTTGTGTCTGGTATTTAGAACATGACCAAATCAGATGTCCCTGCCCGTTTCCTTCTAGTGACTACCAGGACCCTCCCTGTGCCACCCAACCCCCACTAAGCAGGAGAGGGCAGTCGGTGCCCAAAGTGATCCCCCTTCTGGCTGTGTCCTCTGGAGAGCTACTTCTTAACCCAGGCTCCCGATGAACTAGTGGACCTGAAGCACCTGAAAGGACGTGTCAGTTTCTCCAGGCTTTTTCTGGAAGAGGATCCACAGCCCTCCACATGTTCCCAAAGGAGGGTTAAGAGCCCCTGTCCTAGGAATACATAACATGAGTGTAACTTCCAGAGAGAGTGTCTGCACCTGGCAGAGGCACTGCCTCCTCCCTCCCTCTGGTATGAGGGCCCCACCCAATGATGGCAGACTCATCTCTTCAGGGACACTGAAGAAAAGTCACAGCCAAAAGGCAGCGGAATTTGCAAGCCTGGCCCTGCAGAAGGGCCCCACAAGAGACACAAGGTCAAACCTAGGAGCTAAGTGCAAAGCAGCACAGACACTAGGCTTCCATCGCCCTGATGCTACGGCAATTATTCAAGCAGAGATGTTTGCTCTGGAGCCTTCTCAGAGCCCAGTAGCTCTGTCCCTGAGAAGGGTCTTTGAGGAGAAGTGTCCTGTCCCTGGTCAGTCCTGGGAAACAGTTCCCTGCCTATCTGGTACCCAGGACTAGCAGGGTCCCAGAGCACCCAAGCAAGGTCCCCACTGTGTGACCCCCAGTGAGTGATTCCACTGGGGAGGTGAAGGCTGACACTGCACACCTACAAGTACTGCAGGCCATCCCAGGTCTGCAGATCCCACCTCACTTAGTCACAGCCTAATACCTGGCAGGAGGGTTTGGAGTGTCTCAAAAAGACCTGTCTGCTTCTAGGGATCCCAAGGAGTGGCTCCATCTGCCTGTTCTGTTAAATGCCTTTGTGCTGATAACAGGATGTTGCAAAATTGGCGGGGTGGGGAGGGGGGCGCGCTCAAACAGCATCATGACAGGGGTTACCAAATGTGCTAAAGGATGAAACAAACCAGGAAAGAATGAATACGAAGCCTCACATCTGCATAGCTACTCCCCTTTGCAGGTGCATGGCCTCCTGCCTCCTAGGGAGGTTCAGCCCCAAGCTATGCAAGAAAGGTGCCCAGCCACGTGATTACAGAGGCAAAAGTTCAACTTGCTGGGCAAAGGGCTTGGGCAGACATTTCTCAGAAGATATATAAATGGTCAGAAAGCTTAGGAAAGATGTTCAACACTATTAGAGAGATATAAATCAACACTTCCTTGCGATACCACTTCATACCCACTAAGGATGACTACAGTTTTTTAAAAAGGAAACGAAAGTAATAAGTGTTGGCAAAGATGTTAAGAAACTGGAACCTTTCTGCACTACTAGTGAGAATGCCAAATGGCGTAGCCACTGTGGGAAACACTTCAGTAGTTCCTCAAGAAATCAAATATAGAATTATCATGTGACCCAGTAATCCCACCCCTAGGTGTCTACATAAAAGAACAGAAACAAGGATTCAAAGAGTTACTGGTACCCGCATGTTCACTACAGCATTATTCACAATACCCAAAAGGGGCAGGCAACCCAAGTGCCCATCAACAGATGAATGGGTACACAAGAGAAGAGCATTCACTTATAAAAAGAATGGCTCTTTTATATATGTTGCCACATGGATGAATCAGAAATTGCGCTAAGCAAAATAAATTGGACATGAAAGGAAACGTGCTATTCTGTCATTCCACTTATATAAAATATCCAGAATAAGCAAATTCATAGAGACAGAATGTAGATTAGAGGGTTGCAGAGGGCTGGAGGGAGGAAAAAATAAAGAATGGGGAGTTACTGCTTAAGGAGCAGAGTTCCTGATTGGAGTGAAGAAAAGTTTTGGAAAAAATAGTGGTGACGGTTGTAAAATATCGTGAATTGCACACTTAAAATGGTTAAAATGTCAAGTTTTATTATGCTAAATCTACTTTATCATAATTTTTAAATGTTCATTAAAATATTTAGGCAAGGTCCTGGGTTCAAGCTCCAGTACCAGAGAGAGAGACAGAGAGAGAGAGACAGAGAGAAGCATTTGCTAGGTATGATGACACATACTTATAATCCCAGCACTGGGGAGGCTGAGGCAGGAGACCGAATTCAATGTATAGCAAGTTCAAGGCCACCCTGGACTACATAGTAAGACTCTGCCTCAACCACCCGACACACAGAGACACAAAATCAACTTGCTCATCTGAGAAAGGACGCTATTGTCTATTCCTATTAGAATCCATAGCTCAGTGCTCTTTTGGCAAGGGGCGATAGGATCAAGTTCAGAGCTTTACACATAACCAGGCAAGAACTCTAACTCTAGCCCAGCCTGGTGCTCTTGAAACCACAATCGAAAAACAAACTTGGTTCCTTGACCAGCTGCTGAACTCTCTTTGCTAATCTCCCAGCACAAGGGCACCCCTTCCACAAAAACAGGGGTGACTATACCTCTCCACCTAGGGGCCCAGCCAGATGCTCTTTCCACCTGTTGGTGATAGTCCCGTCCTGTCCACAGCCCCTTGGGCAGCTTCAGAGAGATGCCATCCAGCCCCAGGAGCTGCCTTGTCTCCACCTGCTACCTGGAAGGCCCAGGGCCATGCGTCCACGTTTGCACAGAAGGTCTTGGAAGAAACCAAATGTCTAATTGCCCAGAAAATCTGGTGTTGGCAATTAGCAAACAAGCTATTATCCACAGACAATCCATCCACCCTGCTGCTGCTCAGTTCTAATTATCCCATCACTCAAACCTTCTCAGAGTATATCCTCGGTGATTCCACAGACCTGCAAAGCAGCACAGCTTGGGCCACACACTGAGCACATTCCTGGGGCCCCCAGGGGATGCCAGGGCACTGCAAGGGCAAGAAGTAAGGATTTTTTGGTTCTTCCTCTACCCCACTCCCCCACTGGATCTGGGGCAACATGAAACAAATCATTTGACTCTCCAGGCCTAGAGGCAGTTGAGCTTCATGAACTACATTTCTGCCTAATAAATCCCTTTATGCCTATTTAAAACAAAAAAAGAAAAATTAAAATTCAGCTACATTGTGTAGCAATTTAAAAGTGATCTGCATAGAAGATGCAGAGGAGAACTATTTCACAGGTATCTGTATATTGTGTACACCTACATCTATAAGATTATATAGCTATAGATTCTAAATTGAAGATAACTCACCAGTTAATGTCCACCAATCCAGCATGGGAATATACAAAGCCTGTAGTGACACATTTAATCTCTAGTTAATATTTCTTCACTTCACAGTTTAGGAGGTCAAAGTGGTATTCAAAACTTCACGGGGAAAGACCATGAAAAAGCCTACTGAGTGGTCAGAGAACAAAGTTTAATTCTGTTGCACTAACAGTCCCAACAAGATTTAAAATCTTGTATGCCTTAGATAAATAATTAGGACTAAACACAAAAAGGCCGTCTATTAATCTTAGAGCATTTGGCAGACGTGAGCTAAGAGACAACAGGAGAGAAATGGTACCTGGAATGTCTAAATGTACACGGCATACGCTGTACATTAATTACACTGGCCATTATCTACAGTAAGAAATACTACATCATTTAGTTGCCCCTGTCCATGCTGTTTCAGTGAAGCTAGTATAATAGCATCTTTCCCTGGATCACCTCCACCTGCCTGAGACTCCCATTCAGCACACTCGGGCACCCTTGGAACTGAAGAGAAGTGTGACGCTAAAAGCTCAGCTTGAGTGGAGGTTGTTACAGTGCAGTCTTGGAAGAAAGAAAGGAGGCTGAAGGAAAAAAACAAAAAATGCAGGCCCACATGTGAAGGTGCAGAAGAAAGACTGCTAACAGAAAGATGAACAGAAAGTGCTTCATCAAAAGTGCAGTCAGGAGCTCCAGTGGTGCAAGCCGTTAGCTTGTGGTACTTACACAGAAAATGTGGTCAGTGGCATAGAGAAAGGATGTGCAGTGTGAAGAAATACATATCGCACTGTCCCAACTAAGTTACCCAAAGACCACCCAAAGCATGAGCCATGCCAAGCACTAAGGGACCTGCTCAGCCCATCACAGAGGGATTTCACAATTTCATGCCACAAATCAGACAAACACTGGCCATACGCAGAATGTAAGCTCTCAGGCACAAAAGAGTTAAACTGACGGGGAGAGACCCTGGAACTCCTGAGTAAAGAGAAATTACTCCCTTTTGTTCTCAGTTTTAGATAGCTTAACATCAGCTCAGTCACATAGTGTGCAGATAATCTTTCTTTAGTTTAGTAAATATAAGAACGAGTTGGTAAGGATATTTATAGGTTCACTCTTAAACCTTAAAGTCCCACCCCAACACATTCTTCAAGTCATTTTAAAAATAATTTTGGCCGGGGGTACACCTCAGTGGCACAAGTGCCTGCCTGGCAAGCGCAAGGTCCTGCGTTGGATTCCCGGTACAAAAAAATCATCATCGTCATCGTAATAATAATAATAATAATTTTGGCAGTCAGGAGAGTATATAAACAAATGAAAATATTTTTCAACCATGTAAAGGACGAATAAATAAAAATACTACTCGCCTGACAAATCTCCTGCCACAGGACTTCTCAGAACCCCGAACCAGGGAGTTGAGGAAGAATTAGTTTAACTTGTTAATTAAATCCTCTTCCTTTGCCTTGGTGGTGCAAGAAAGAAAATGTAGGCTTCATTTGGATCCCTGCTATAAAATTCAAGACATGCCCCATTCAGACACATTTTTATTTGCTCCCAGCTCTAACGGCTTTAATCAAAGCAGATATTCTTAAAA